ATATAAGATTAGTCTATATAGTTTCTATTACTATATATTCTATTTATAAATAAAAATGTTTGTCCTGTAAATGTGTACATTATGCTCGACTACACATATATAAACTTTTGCACCAAATATTGTCAAAAAAACGAAATAAAGTTGAAAAAAAAATAGAAGCAAGAACCTGCCTGCTATAAATCTTGTTACAATTACAAATTACAATAACAATTTATAAATAGAATAAATAGAGAACAAATATTTACAAACATTTACAAATTCTAAAATTCCAAGATTACACAGGGACTCGAGTCTTTAATGATGGTATTTTAATATTAATACTATTTACAAGTCCCTGTGGACTAACACATATCTTCACAATCTTTTACGAACTTTGTCTTATACCTTGACTTCAATAGCCACTATTTTTGTATCATGGAAGTTTGTAAATGAAGTGTTTTGATTAGATTGTATGCTGTCAAATACAGCCAATCAGAAGCCTTGATAGAACATCTGTGCAATATTGTTTACAGCATTTCTCTCAAGGGCTCTGATTGGCTGTATTTAATAATATAATTACAAGTACAATTTTGACTGGCAAACACAAATGGATCCAAAACCCTGAATTCTATCGATCATAACCATAACTATTATCCTCGTTAATATATTGTCCATACTGATCTCTCATTGGTTGATTATAGGGGTCATAAGGTCGTCCTGGATCTAAAGCCCGGCCATGTTCATCCACTGGGTGGCCATCTTGTAAAAATCCAACACTTGATTTTGGGCGAATGTACGGATCATAGTCATCATCATAACCACTGAAAAAATAGACGAATTTGTTGATGAATATAATACAGTGTGCACTTTTTTCAACTGACAACAAACCCAAAAGGTATTAAAATCAAACAGAGTCTTACAACTAACTTTTCTCCACCAAAATGGCCTAAAGAATATGAACATCATACAGTGAGCAATGGGGGAAATTCATTCGTCACTTAATCTAGTTTCAACTGTCAAGAAAACAAAATACAAACTTTACCCATAATGGTTGAAATAATCAGAGTTTCCGTTGTAAAGACCACCATCATCTATATATTCTGGTGTAATATGACCTTCCATTAATACATTCTGATCATATCCTTCTATAATAGATAGACAGACAGACGGAATAAATGAATGAATGAATAGATAAATAAAAGAATAAATGATTGATAGTTAAATAGGGCCAGGTAGAGTTATGAGTAACAACTGAATGAATGAATGAATGAATGAATGAATAAATAAATACACTATAATAAACAAAGCTAAATTCGTATCAATATCTCCATCATTCTTACTATTGCTCCCCATTTGGTTGGCACATCTGATAAAAACAATAGTCACAATCATCCAGTCAAACAATTAATACTTACCACCATTATTATAAAACAGGTCTGGACGATCTAGTATATCTGAGTCTTGAATATATGGATCGAAGCCGTCATCTGAATACATATAACCTTCGTTAAAATCTCCAACTTGACGTGATTCTAACATTTCTAACCATTGAGAATTATGCCAGCGGAATTTCTCCAGTTGAATTTTCTTAGACCAATCAGCATCATATTCCTAAAATATAAATTTCATTTCAGGAATATATACAGACCACAAACAACGAGATTTCAGATATAATTAATACATACTGAAAACTCTTACAAACTCTTGTCCAAAAATATGTTAAAACCTCTTAAAATGAAGGAAAAATCAAAAAACTTACCGCTATAATATCTAGAGTATTATCACAGACTTTTCTTATCTCTTGGTTTTTATCATGCATTAAATCTATAAGATAGGCTGGGGCTTCTATATATGGTAGTTAAAGATTTATAACTTAAATAAACTCAATATTAGGTGAGAGTAGATTAGGTATGTTATTACCAATATAGATAAAGAGTACAGAGAATGCTTTCTGATACAGTATTTTCAAGTATAAAATTGATCATGAGGGTCAGACCTGAGATTCAACAAAGATATTTTTACGAGTAACTAATAAAAAGGATACGTGTATCTTTAATTATAACTTCACGAGTTGATTTGTGGAAAATCATCTGATAAAATACGTAAATTATCTGACAGACGACTTCATCATCTTCTTGTTTAGCTGGAAAATAACAAACAGAAAAATAATACCATGCTTCTTTCTTAACTTTCTTCATTTAACATCTAATAAAATTCAGGAGTGTTTCATGCATTCCTTAGAATCGGTTCTACATAGCTCTAGAGGTCTGACAACCAACCTGTGGTGTTTGTTGGTAAGTCTAGGGGTAACAGAAAAGTTGGGTGAATGAAGCGGTAGACAGCTCCCTGTGAAGAAATTATAAAGTGTTTCTATTCTACTGACAGTCAATGTCACCAGTCAATGTTACCAGTCAATGTTACCAGTCAATGTCACCAGTCAATGTTACCAGTCAACGTTTCGAGTCAATGTTACAAGTCAATGTTACCAGTCAATGTTACCAGTCAATGTTACCAGTCAATGTACCAGTCAATGTTACCAGTCAATGTTACAAGTCAATGTTACCAGTCAATGTAACCAGTCAATGTTACCAGTCAATGTTACCAGTCAATGTTACAAGTCAATGTTACCAGTCAATGTTACCAGTCAACGTTACCAGTCAACGTTACCAGTCAACGTTACCAGTCAATGTTACCAGTCAATGTTACAAGTCAATGTTACCAGTCAATGTTACAAGTCAATGTTACCAGTCAATGTTACCAGTCAATGTTACCAGTCAATGTTACCAGTCAATGTTACCAGTCAATGTTACCAGTCAATGTTACAAGTCAATGTTACCAGTCAATGTTACCAGTCAATGTTACCAGTCAATGTTACCAGTCAATGTTACAAGTCAATGTTACCAGTCAACGTTACCAGTCAATGTTACAAGTTAATGTTACCAGTAGATAGTGTATAAGACAGGTAGAGGGTACAAGATGTAGAAAAGGGCTCTAAGATGTATTTAAAATAACTACAGGCTTACCATTGAGCAGTTCAATAAGACTCTGTATTATATTAGAGTCAGCTAGTAACCTAGCACAACCATCATCGCTACAAACAGTACCAACTAATATTATAACTTGTAATACCCAATCATCATCTGCTGCACCTAAAAACAATCAAAAAGAAAACAATCCAAATTGTGTAGTTTTACATCCAACAAAAAACAACATAAATACTATTATAAATGAGGTAATATTTCCTCTAAAAATAAGGCTGGACTGGCGATGGCCCCACATTTTTAAATTTCATGTAATTGAGTTTTGAAACGCCTGGTGCTATCGGCAGCTTAGATAATCCTGTAGCCGTCTCTAGGCTCTCCACCGAATGATATTTAATATAGATAGGGTAAGATAGAAATACCACTATCACAGATCACTAGTGAATATAACACATAAATATTTCTCTAAAACTTACCTGGGAGTAACTTCCCTTTAATCCAGTTGATCAAATCATACTCGCGTAAAATCAGTTCATAATCTAACTCAGGTATAGTTAAATTACCCAGAATTCCTAGACATTCTAACGAGAATTCATCTTCGTCTTGTAGAACAGCTGAACACAAGTCACTGATATAGTCCTAGAATTACAATCAATAAATCACAATAATATTAACTGTCTTTATCTAGGCCTTATTAACTACTCTACTGTAACAAGGGAAGTAACTCTTAAACAAGTCTTGATATTTCTAAGACCACAATAATAGGACATTATTTCAGGTTTTCTTTTACGATATCCTCCTTTAACAAAACCTAAGTTAAAATGATTGATTCATATAAAATTAAGCTTTATTTCCTACTGTTTTAAATTGAATTGAAAAAATACTCTCTACTATTTGGAGACCTCCAGCTTATGAAGACCTTGCAATATGACATAACTTAAAGCATGTCAACCTGCCGAATTTACATCAAAGGCAGTGTGGGACACCATGTTGATCTAGTAAACACAATCAAATCTAATAATAAGAATCAAATAACTCTAGTCTATACTTACAACAAACAAGTTTTTAGTTGGTCCTTCGTGTTGAGACAGATTTCTTATCATTTTCATCAGTAGTGGGTCTTTAACTTTAAACGCACGTTTCATCAACATTTTCAATCCACTACCCTCACAGATAATACTAGCTGTTCGTTTATTAGCTGCTAGGTTTATACATAACGCTATTAATTCTATTTCTGTTGATTCTTTACTTTCAAATAACATTTTCATTACCTAGAAATAAACAATTAGTTATAAAAAATCTTAAAAAGTGAAATGCTTTTTTGTAGCTAATTGGGCTAATGACGCTTGTCAGTCTCTTAGCCCTGTATCACTGATAGTGACAGAGGGAGGGCTCAAAAATCCAAAGGTTTTTACTCTACCCATGCTGGGAAGTGAGCGAGCATGTAACTTACTGACCTCCTACAAGGTTAGCAAGCAAGTGTCGCCTCGGCTCAAAAAGAAAAAAAAATCCTTACCATTGGTATGCAATCAGTATAGGTAAACATAGCTTTAGATTTATCATCCAGACTTATATGATACAGTAGAGATAATACTATTAATCTATGGTTTTCATTCACTGGAAGAAAGAGACACAAGTTTCAATCGGAAAAGTGTAAAATCTCATAATCGCCACCTTAAAAAAATTGCTCTAAGAGAACTTTAGACGGTAATGTCGTGCAGTATGCAATGAAAGAATTATTACCAGGATAGTGGCATTAGCCTAGTGGATTGCCATGTCAAAATCAAACAACTTTTTCCATGTCAGGGGAAACTCTGGGTTGAATAATCTGAAGGTATCATCTTGAACTATGCCCATTTCCAGGATTGAATCCTGGACCTTCAGGTTACAAGCAAGCTTAGAAATATGTACAAATTATACTTACCTAATAGATTAACTAGTTTTGGTAAAAGACCAAATTTGATCATTTTATTTCTCAAGTCTGCGTCAAATGAAAGATTTAAAATCAATCTTAGAGAAATATTTAATAAATCTTCATGATCTGTTGGTATTATCTTTGTCATTTTTTCTATAATATTTAATTCAGCCTGTAATGACAGAGAAATTTAATACTTTAACATTTTCAAACACATTTCATTTTTACTTTTGTTTGATGAGAAGTGATCACTTTCAGAGAGTCCAAACAGCTAATAATGTTTATTTGGTATTTAGGTTTATCAACTCAGCATCCCTTTCAGAGAGTTCACATAGCTAATAATGTTTATTGGGTATTTAGGTCTGTCATCTAAGTATCCCTTTCAGAGAGCCCACATAGCTAATAATGTTTATTGGGTATTTAGGTTTATCAACTCAGCATCCCTTTCAGAGAGTCCACATAGCTAATAATGTTTATTGGGTATTTAGGTTTATCAACTCGGCATCCCTTTCAGAGAGTTCACATAGCTAATAATGTTTATTTGGTATTTAGGTTTATCAACTCAGTATCCCTTTCAGAGAGTCTACATCACTAATTAGCATTGCCAACTTGCCAATCCTTTCAGAGAGTCCACATTGATAATAATGTTATTAAGGTATAACAGTTTCAGCACCAATGAAAAATCTTGTTTGCTTACCATCTCACTTTTATTCTCGATGAAGATGGACATTTTTTTAAGGAATGACGTAACAAGGATTAACAGTTCTGGATTTTCTCTATCTAAAGTTTTAATCAATAATCTGATAATCCCTTTATTCTTCATCTTCATTTCAACTTTCAGATCTTCAGCCAGATTTAACAGTAGATAGTACGTCACTGAAAACACATCAAATATATTAGTTAACAGTGCTAGAGAAATAGAATGACATTATCAGAGAACAAGGGCAGTAACTCTAGTCTCCACCTTTAGATCTTCAGCCAGATTTAACAGTAGATAGTACGTCACTGAAAACACATCAAATATATTAGTTAACAGAGCTAGAGAAATAGAATGACATTATCAGAGAACAAGGGCAGTAACTCTAGTCTCTACCTTTAGATCTTCAGCCAGATTTAACAGTAGATAATACGTCACTGAAAACACATCAAATATATTAGTTAACAGAGCTAGAGAAATAGAATGACATTATCAGAGGATTAAGATTTGAACTCACAGCACCATATTTCACCTACCTCGTAACAACTGTTCCTGTTTCTTCACCAAACTTTCAAACTTTATTTTGCTTCTGCTATGATCATCTTTAGCTTTACGATTATTTTTATCAGATTCACGTTATAGAGAGTTAAGGAATGAAGATATTAGGGAGGAGGTAAACATGTTAGATCAGTTAGCTATGACAGCTCTACAACATAATTAGTTGAGATAAGATAATATCTAACATTCATGAACTATCTGAGATGTCAACCAATAGAATTCAAGGTATATTATCACATGCTCACATTATCACATTATCAACATTTTATGAAAGAAACTACTAGAATCTACCCAGTCGCGCTATAAAGTTACCTGGTGTGCACTACAGTGGTTCCCAACCTATTTCAGCCTTCACACCCCTAGAGCCAACACATGGATCTTTCCCACCCCCAAAAATTTGTTTCATTCACATTTTCAGCATGTGATGATATGAGGTGCTCTCTCAATTCAAATACATTCTTCTCCTACAATAGATGACCACACCCCTGACACCCTAGTCCCACACCCCCAGGGGGTAAAAACACCCCAGGTTAGGAACCAGGGACCTACAGGAATATATGGACAGAGTCTCCTCTGATATAAAAGGATATTTAATTTTTTTTTCTTATGTAGCTCATCTTTCCACAGATCGTATTTTTTTAGTTCGTGTTCTATAATCGACATACACAGCGCCCCCACTTTAAAATGGAGGATAACTCCGTGGAATTGTGTAAAACTTGAAAAACAGAAAAATATATAGACGATATTGGTGGCTACTTCCGAACTCTTCATCCAGTCTTCCCGTAAAACACGGGCTAAGGCTCCAACAACAGTTTCTATAATGAAAAATGAATTTTTTCAGCTTTTTGGAGGTATTGTGGGTGGAAAATATAAGAGTAGGTAATGGTCTGTATATTGTAACAGCAGGCTCAAAAATTGGTTTTGCTTTGTTATGATGAGTTAGACAAAATAATGTTCATTGAAGTCCAAGTGATTATAAACTATACTATGAAATTACTACACACTTAATCACTTCATTTCAGAATTACCACCGAACTAACATCCCAAATTTTTTTTTTTTGGCTCAGGGGGTGGGGTCTGGGAGGACCTACTCACCATTTTGAAAGAGTTCCTCAAGATTATCAGGATTACGTGAGAGTTGTAGAATCAGAGCTGAGCCTCGTATTTTATCAGGGATATCTTCGTATAATAAATCAAGATATTCGTCTATATCGTTAATATTAGCTGTCTCGTCAATTTCTGTCGCATCGTGTAATCCTGGTTCTTCTGGTTTATCACTCAGTTTAGTCTTACCAGATACTGGAATAAAACAGAAAATTTCACAAATTAACAAATTTCTGATGCCATGCAGTGGCCAATGAGGAAATTTTATCACTCTGGAAAAAACAGAAAACAAATGTAATTTTCAAACAAGCAGTGTGCAATGAGGGAAATTTTCTTTTTTTATTTTGTAATAATTCTGATCACCAGATTTTTTGAGGATGGGGCCCTGGCACACTCTCTTCCTCTCCCTGACAACATGTTAACTAACCTTTACTAGCCACCCCATCTCGTCTATTCTGTAAATAATACAATAACTGTTCAACTTCTGGTAATTTACTGGGATGTATCAGTTTACATTTATCTATAATATCCTTCGCTAGAGACGATAAATCACTGTTCTCATTTAAACCTTTTACTCTAATACTGAAAAAATAATCAATTCATTATAGATAAAATCAGCTATATCAATCACTTCTTTCACTGGTGATGTCAAATCATTTTTCTAATTCAACAAAACAAATCAGTTAATTGAAGGAAGAAGAGATAAATTGGGTAAGGGAAATCTCTGAAGAACATTTTCAACAGCGATGCACAAAGATAGCAAATTCAAAGGAAAGAATGAAGAATATGAAATTTTGTTTGTAATAACAGAGCTGTTTCTCAATTTATTTTTTAATGAAACTTACATTTTTTGACATTCCTTCCTCTCTCCTAACATAGGATCTCCGAGTTCACCAAGAATTGTAGCTTCTAGCTCATAATTCACCACTAGAGCTTTTTCTGTTGGGTGAACATCTATACTTCCTCCCTTGACTTTCCTGTTAACAAACAAAAGTATTAAGTTCTTACTTTTGCAGCACATTTGAAAGATACATAAAAGTACATGCATGATCCTAAGACAAGCAAAATTTCTGATATTATTGCAATTACATAATGAAATAGGTAGGCCTAATGATCCCTAAGAAAGAACTTACAGTGTCTTTCACGCAATGCTAACTCAGGAAGGTCTCTATATTGCAGTATAATAATTGGTTGCTAATGTACACCCCCACCCTCCTCCTTCTCTGTCCCACCCCACCCCCACAGAAATGACAGATCAAATGAAATGATTATCTTATTCTATGTTTTTCATTCTAATTTTAAATGAATCTTTGCCAACAGTATAATAAATGTACCTTTTCAAGTATCTGGCATCTTCAGGCTGTAAATTTGCCATTTTGGCTGTTTCTAAAACAACCTAAATCGTCTGTTTTTCAATGAATTAGCTCAGAGTTGAATAAATAAACAGATTTGACAGCCATGCCAAAATATGCGTAGCCTCGACCAAACTGCTCCGGCGAATATTCGACAACTTTGATTTTGCAGAACTAAAATGTCGTTAATTGAAAGAATAGAAGAAATTTAACTTTAAATTATATTTGATTTTTAACCAATGAATTTTCAAATTAAAAAAAAGGCATAAATTGTATAAATCATTTTTGTTATGAGATTATAATAAGTAGGCAACATGGCGGACATAGACAACGAAAATAGTAAACAAAGCGAATCTGATATAGATTATGACTTGAAAGTTGTTGATGAAAGGTTTTATGGCGATGCCAAAAGTTACTGGGAAAAGATCTCGCCCACGGTGGATGGAATGTTGGGTGGTTTTGCTAAAATATCGCCAACAGACATAAACGGATCCAGGGCATTTTTGCGGCAATTTATGAAGGTTTGTAAACAAGAGTTGTTCCCCTTTGTCCGTAAATGCTTACCTGTGCAACCCCACCCCACTCTTTTTGTCCTCTTTGGTTTTAAATTGAGAATACGTGGACATTTTTACTGGAAATGATCTATTTGGCTACCTATTTTTTTTTTTAATAATAGGCCACGAATCCTTGCTCTTGTTGGACGGGAAGATACTCCAAGGTATCTTGGTTAGACCGAGTTTCGGAAGCTCCCCACCATAGCCCTTGTATTAAATTTCTGTTGCTTTATTTTCAGATTTCTGGTGGTAAGGTTGACAATAAAAGAGCCCTGGATTGTGGGGCAGGAATAGGTCGAATAACTAAAAGACTTCTGCTACCTATGTTCGAAACAGTTGATATGGTAGAACTAAATCAACATTTTTTAAAGGAAGCAAGGACGTTTATAGGTGATGATTCTAAACGTGTTGAAAACTTATTCTGTAGTGGTTTACAAGATTTTACACCTGATAGGGGACAGTATGATGTCATTTGGTGTCAGTGGGTTCTAGGACATTTAAAAGATCAACATTTAAAAGAATTTTTTCAGCGTTGTAAATTAGGGTTGAAGCCTGGAGGAATTATTGTTGTCAAAGAAAATTCATCAACGTCAGAAGAAGAAAGGGATTTTGATTCAAGTGACAGCAGTTTCACACGACCGAAACACGAACTTAAAGAAATTATGGCTAAAGCTGGACTTACTGTTTTAAAAGAAGAAAAACAAAAAGGTTTTCCTAAAGGAGTTTATGATGTTTTTATGTTTGCTCTACAATAATGTTTTAAGGGAAAGAGGTTAAGTGGTCTAATTTTTTTACTCTTCAGAAAATATCTGCCTTTATTTTGAATAAGAAGGGGTTGGGGTGTGTGATAAAGGTTGAAAGCCACCACTAGATCTCGAAAGCACTGGCTGTGTCTAGTGTAGAGAAAGGTCATAATGCTTGTGTTATGTTTTCAGTGCAATGGGATTATAAGAGATATAAGAGTGATGCCTAATAAGAGAAATAGGGGGGTGGGTCTGTAATCAGTGGACTTAGGGTCCTAATATCTCCTAATAAAATATTAAATCAATCCTTTTTTAACCTCCAGATATAATCAAATAGTATTTCATTATTATTTTAATTCTTGTGGTGTAGTAATTTAATTTCTTTTTCTGGACGCAAATTACAGTTTTTGAAATTTAATATTTTAAGAAAATTTTTGATTAAAGTTGTCATATTTCTATTTTAGATACCTTTTCTTCGTAATATTTATTTTTTTAATTACATTTATCTTGTTGCTGCCTTTTACAATAAAGTGATGGGAGGAAAAGTAAAACTTTGAATCTATAGAAATAAAAAAGTTGCTTATATTAATTCAGTCTTTGTTGGTTTTATTTTTTTATTGTTGTAAATTGAAGTAAAGAAATAAATCATGTAATGTTTGAATAAAAATAAAATTTTTGAAAATATTTTTTTTCTTAAACTAGACATCCTGAGGAAGATTGGTTATTCACACATTTTGCAATCGTTGCTTGTTATTAGAACTTAGTGTCGTATTTTATCTGAGACCAATGATTGCTCACTATCCTGTCACAATCTGCTTGCTAAAGTTTGATGAGGGAATGTTGTATTTGGCATGTGAGATGGGCTTCAGCTAACTTCAAGAATAAATCCCTGGGTCAGCTCTAGGCAATAGACTTATCCTGCCAAAAACTCTAAACTAAATAGGGTGTGGGGTGATAAAAACAAACTCTAAACCCTATCCAACCCCTGAATCATCACTTTTAAATCAGAAGACAAATTACTTTCATTTTTTTAATTTAACTTTTTACAGCAAATTTCCTCATGGGGAAATTCTGGGCCTTTCGTCTGGCTTTCTTGCTCTTAATGTTTTTTTCATTATCTGTCAAGGAACGTCTGATAGCCCTGGTCTTCTTTCGTCGAAGTTGTTTAGGTACCCACTTCTTTTTCTTGTAAAATTTACGTAAATTTTCTTTTCGAGTTTGGTTCATAACAGTTAAAACTCGGCCAACTGATTTACGAACTGTTCGACTGAAAAATAATGAAATGAAAGTGAGTTTTATGTCCTGTTTTCTACACCTGGTGGGGGTAATACAATGACATAAGGAATGAATGAAGTAATCAAACTGCAAAAATTTCTGCTACTTTCAAAGAATGATCAATATCTTTTTGGCTCAAAACAAATTTGATCAGTCACTAAAAAGGCTGTGCATCAACACATTAGGAAAGTTCATGAACAAATGTACTTTGAGATACGGTTCAAAATTATAACTTACATTTTAGAGAGCTTGTTGGCTGAACCACCAGTTACCGTGGCAACTCTGAGAGTCTGGAGTTCCTGAAAATATAAAGAAATTTCATAAAATATTTGATTAACTCATGACATGGATGAATTGTGGGATAGCGAAACCAAAGAGGACGTCATGCAGCTCTTCTTTGGGTTTCGCTATCCCATAATTCATTATTGTTATCAAGAAACGCCTCGTACAGGACATGCTTTAACCATTACGTCATTAAGGCCTAGAACACAACTATGGAAGAAACCTTGTTTGATTACAATGGAGACAAAAACAACGCAATTTTGATTAGAATGTCTTGGTGCTTACCTCTTTCAACTCATCGAGTTTTTTGTCCAACTCTTCCTTTTTCTTACCACGATAATCTTTAGCCTTTATTTTCGTCTGAAATCAAATACACACATTTAGTTTGGAGAGTGAAACATGAATATAATAGCAGGCAAAATAGGTTGGCATAGTTCAGTTGTCTACTTTTATGAATCAGCTTTCAGTTATTTAGTCTTCCCTTCATTAATGCCTCTGTATCAACCTGATTTAAAAATATGAATGCTGCACAACATCTAGACAACTGGATGTAGAGCTCAAACCATTGTTGTGATACTAATAACACTCAATATCCCTTGCAAAACTCCTAATCATAAACCAAACTGGCAAACAATCCAAACATGGCAGTTTCTAAGCTAAAATTCTGAATCAGCTATTTCAAGTAGAGATGACAACGTAGTCTAGTAATTCAAAAAGTAATTCATGACAAGCATCACGAAGACAAATTAATTAAGACAAATGCTAAGTTTATGTCGATCTGATCCTAAAAAGTTGTAATCCATTTTCGTCAACAGAATCATAGCGTTGATGAAGATCAAGTCGCCACCAAGCCAACTTTCATTACAAAAATTTCATATTGGCTTCAAGCTTTCAAAACATCAGTATGCAGAGTCATTAAGAGGGATTGTTCAAATTTAATTTAAGGGATATTTTGAATTTCTGGGGCTAGAGGTATACAAGATGAAGTTGGATTTATAAGAAGGATTAATTCCCTCACCATGTTGACGGTTCGACTGGATTGTAAAGGCCGATAACGAGGCTGAAGTTCCCTACTTCCGTTTTACTAAACGCGTAATAATGGACGCGGATTTGTATTTAAAGCGGAACACCTGCGATGGTTTCGACGTTAGAGTCCGTTTACCACCCGAAAGCAAAGATCGTGGCATCAAAAATTTGTCTATATAGAGAGGGATTTGGGTCTTACCGAACGAAGTTGTTTTGATTCAGCTACAGTAATTGAGTCTGCTGATTAGTACTAACAGACAGATTTGTCTTTTCATCTTTCTTTAACTGCAGACGAATCTGGTGTCATATCTTAACTGTAAGAGTAATACGGGTAGCTTAGTTTGAACTCTATCAGCTGGTAAAGCACAACATTTTAATGCCGTTTTGGCTATCATATATCGGTCTGCTTAATCACGACTTTAAGGTCGAATAGACTAACATACTTTTAAAAAACAGAAACATAATAGAGACCTCTCTATATGAACTATATCTATTATACTGTATATATTGTATCTATAGGTCTTTCAATTATATTTTCTATACTTTTCTTTTCAAAGAGAATCAGCGAGGTATAAAACTAACAATGAATAAATGTTGGCATATAATCATCTTGATCAAGCGTTTAGATTAAGATAAAAAAAACACCTGAAATTTCAAGGAAAGTTTGGGCTACCACTGTCTTAGCAAACTTCTCATCATTTCTCACTGCTAGGCATTACCCGTATTCAGTGGAGTTTCTACGAGGGGAAGGGAGAGAGGGTGGGGGGGGGGGGGATGAAAAGATGCTGGCCCGGCTTTTGACCACCTATCTTAAATCTATTTATCATTTTACATAGTAAAAGAATGGTCTGTGGCCCCGGCTGCTTGACCCCCCTCACCTGATGCTTTCTAAAAACGCCACTGTCTGTATTATTAAAATGAGAAATTGGTGTAAAAAAAATAATACGTATATCACCATTTCATTTCATTTGTCCAAACAATATAATAGAATAAAATCCATTTCATTTCATTAGTCCAAACAATATAATAGAATAAAATCCATTTCATTTCATTTGTCCAAACAATATAATAGAATAAAATCCATTTCATTTCATTTGTCCAAACAATATAATAGAATAAAATCCATTTTATTTCATTAGCTCAATAAATTAATTGGTAATAGTGCGGAAAACTCTATTTAATAATAATAATATTTGTAAGCTAACTATTTATATTATAATATAGGCCAATATTTATAGTGGAAGATAGTACGCTATAAGAGTGGTATAATAATATATTATAATATAGTATGGTATATAAGTGGGGTCAAAGTTCAAAGTTTACTCTCAATTGCCCTCTTAACAGGTTAGATATAAAAGTAGGCGTTTCCTTCAATGCATTAAGGAAGTTTGAAGATTTGTGTGAATCTCTCTCGTTAATTTGTGACATTTATATCAAATATTTTAATTCACTGTGAATATGGATGCTAAAATTCGTCAGCAGATGAGTAAGTGTTTAGGGGTCGGGGAGGGGTCGGTGTTGGGGTACGGCAAGGAATTGCTGGGTTGGGGACAGTGACAGAATGTACGATATATTAAGAAATTGAATATGATATCCTGAGTCTTCCTTATTGAAATCAAATTTGACAAACGGGAAGTGGATGACCTAATAGGCTATTGTTTTTTTTTTTTTTAGTAAATTCGAACCCGTGGCACCAAATTACATTGCAGACGACCTTCAAACCACTAGAGCAATTAGCCTATCATAATATGTATGTGATTTACAGGTGGATTAATGCCTTGGCCAGTGCTTTTGAGAGCCAGGTGTCGGGTTTCACCCTCTATCACAGACAATATTGCTGCCATTTGGTCATACAATCTGATTGTTGGTTGCAATATTTTATATGTGTTTCTATGAAGATCAAATATTTCTTTTTATGTTAGTGTCACCCGTTCAATCAAATTGGCCTTCATTCTTCAAAATGTTCGTAGTGTTCGTGTTTTGGGTTGACAGGCACAATCGTAGAGAGGAACCATGTGTGTGTAGGGGGGGGGGGGGGTGCATGCCCTGCATCTGACTAACTAAGATGCGGGGAGGGTGGCTGAAATCATTTTTACCAACCTATTAGATTTGAGCCTGTTAAATCTACGAAAGAAGACTAAAACATAGTAAATTTTCGACAACGCCATCTTTGCACCTCGGGCTAAGATATTCTAATCAAAACAGCTACCTCCATTAATCAATCAATTAATTAATCAATCGTAATTAGGTTAATTAACACAGCTAGCTAAGTATCTTATAATTATCTGATGTGAGGCTCTCTTCACTAATCACAACCATTACGACTCTATAATCAGATTGTACAGTTCCATTCGTGTCCATCTTTTAGACGCAACCTCGGCTTTAAAGTGAACTTCCGGCTAGTGGGAAGTGACTCATAAAAAACTCATTTTTTGAGATTTTTCTCTTTTTCTGAAAATTGGTTGAATATTGATTCAATTGAAGGAAAGAGTCTGACAAATTTCGTTTCAAAATGTCTAAAAATACCGGTAAATAAGTACTGCTTCTTTAAAATATGTCCCGATTTTCAATTTTACAGCCAGAATTGCCGGCATATTTGCGTCACGCAGTGATGGGGGTGGGGCACGTTGTATCTCTTCAGTAGCTGTCCTGTTTGAAAGCATGATGAAGAAACCTGACTTTCATATGAGTCTGATGACATTCTGAGAAACCTGAGCTGGCAGGAAATTTTGAATACAGTTTGAATATGGAAACTTCTTCTGTTTTATGATTGGGTATCCTTTAACAGCTTCTTTGAATAATGCTCTTAATGCCATTCTGTATAGCCAGTTGGTATGATTAATTCCAACCGTGTCACTTTTTAATTGTAGGTGCTAGTAGGTTTAGGAAAGTAAACGTTGATCAATACGATGAAGATTGTTACCAAGACGATGATAATGATGATGGTGAACAAGGACCTAGTGAAAGTGAAGTCCAAGATTTACTACAAAAATATCCTTTTCTTTAAAAAAAACAAAATTGCTATGGGCTGTAGCACTGTCAGTCAGAGTGTTGGAATCTCTACGATGTCATGGAAATGATTTTCAAATAGTGCTCACAGGTATTAATCTCCAACAAAAGTATGAAAGTTTTATGACTTTGAATAAGTCATCTTTCCTCATTTTTCAAGTAGACCCAGCAGTAAATGGTTATCACAACTACCATCACCTAATTTTTCCTTAACTCTTTTCTTACAAATAAATCCAGCGATGCTTTAAAGGTGGTGTTAAATAACGCTCCTCTAGCCACCAAAAACCAACAAGTTAAGGTTTGTACCTAAATATAATACATTGTATTTCTTATCATTAATTTTCAGTTAACAGTATTTTTATATTCTACAAGTAGATTAGCTATTTTCATCATTAAAACAACACCCCCTCATCAATAAATAGATGTAACTGAGGTTCACTTTAGCCAACTAGCTTTGTGTGATGAAGTGAATTTTGACCAATCAAAACGATGGAGAAGGGTTACCCTTACTCTTATTATATTCACTAGATTTGTGTGTTCATAATTATTTACAAAACAAGTCGATTGTGCCCAATATGAGGTTTAACTGATAAAAGTGAAACACTGTAAAACTTGTAATGTTTTGGGACTTGTGGTGATAAATATATTATGCCTTACCCAATTTTGTAATTTCAGGATCGAGCATTAAATCTAACATTAAGAGTGTTAACATCGTTTAAAACACCAGACATTGATAATGCTGTTAAATCACTAGATAGTAAAAATATAGATATTCTGATGAAATATATTTATCGTGGTATGGAACGAGCACAAGATAGCAATACTTCTGCTTTACTTACATGGCATGAAAAGGTATGTAAACTTTTTTTTAGGGGTGGCTTGTTTTGCTCCTTATGAGCTAATGAAGACGGGCAATGCCAAGCAGTGGGCAATGAGGAAAATTTTGCCTTACTCTTTTTTCTCCAACTGTCAAGGGCCTCAGATTATTGTCCCATCAAACGACTAAGGAAAAGGAATTCTTAAACCCTAAAATATTGATAATGTAATAAATCATTAAAATGTATATTTTTCAGACATTTGCTGTCGGAGGTTTAGGAAGTATCATGAGAGTTTTAACAGACAGAAAAAAAGTTTAAATTATTCCTGATAATCTATAAACATTATATAAATATTATACATTCAACTTATCAACACAGACCAACAGATATTTACAAGCATTTTAATACGAATGTGAAAAATAATTAACTTTCCTTGCATCTCAAACATTTTCAAAGGTATTTGTTAAAAAAAGACTGAAGAACAATTTGGCCAGGGTCCTTGTTTTATAAAATATCTTATTGTCAATTTAATCCTATATTTGGTGAATTCCATAAATTAAATTGTGTAAATCTGAAATTTATCTTAGTTTAGGTTTTGAGAATAAGGTCCCAGAATTTGTACTGTGAATTAAATTCTATTTATTTTACTTTTAATAAGTTTATATGAAATGATAGAATATAGGAATTATTAGCTCTCTTGCTTTAATTTGCTTCAAAACTATGCATTCAAATATTACCTCAAGCACAGCCCTGTATGTGCCAGTCATGTTCAACTAGATATAAAAAATGTCTTAATTTATTTCAGAAATATTGAGCCAGATTCTTTATTAATATTGCTTCTAGTGTATCTGCTCTCAATCTATTAAATCCTGAATGAAGATTTTTTCTAGCCATTTTGTGTATTTGTTATAAATTGTACATAAACCATGTCCATCATTTATTCATAAAAAAACTCAAACACTCAAAAACTTTTTTTTTTTTTTAATCATATGAACCACTTGTGGACTAGAATAGAGTAATTGCTGAATTTCATCCAAGCTAAGCTAATAGACAAGAGCTGTGGCTCCCAACCTTTTTTGTACCCCTCAACACTAACTGTGGGCAGTCCCTCCCTCACCCCTATATCTGGTGCAATACAATGAATATAAAGCAGTGAATTCTGCTAAAATAAATTGTTGGTTTATTTTAATGCTATGGGTCATAGATTGGTGATATATCTCAAGCCAAATAAACCCAGATACACACGTCTTGAAAGTTACTTTTTAAAGAAGAACAAAAACTTGAAATGGCAGCAATTTTATATCATTAATACATGACAATACAATATTTACAACATATTTCATTCAAATCTTAAAAAATATTATAATATAGTGTTATCCAATTATTTTCTAAGCAACAAAAATCTGAAAACAAAATTACACAGAACACTCAATTATTTTCTTTGAGCCTTTTTGACTTTTTTCTTCAAAGCAGCCACATCCACACTGCTCTTAGAGCTTGATGCTTCATATTTCTGTTTCTTCTTTGGCACTGAAACTTCCTCTGGAGGATTGAAATCAGCTCGTCGTTTTTCTTGCTGGCGCTGTTTCGCCTTTTTATCTTTTTCTTTTCTTTCCATCATTTTCTTAATTCCTTTCTGTTTTTCGTTTAAGAAATATTCTCCGGACGCTAGTTGTTGATCAATCTTTGATTCCGGCATTGGAGGAGGGAAGGGAGTGTACTCTTTCTTCTTAAATTCTACTTTCATTTTCTTCTGATGGTTCTTCTTCTTAAACTGGGGCATGAATCGTTCCCAATTTTCATTTCGAAGTTCTGGATGTTTCATTAGTTCACGTTTTATCATTAAGCGTTTAATCGTGTAAACTGGATGCGTGTTTAACATCGTCTGCTCCACGATGTCACGTACGTCATTCAACCCTCCGTACGGACCAATCACTGAAACTGTACGACCTTGAACTAAGATGTAACAGTCCGTTAAAAGTTCAATAGCTTTAAGCGTAGCACCATCAGGGCCAATAAGTCTGTCACGTCTTTTGATAAAGCGTTCTTTATTTCTCACATACGTTGAAATTTTGATGATGTCACATCCATAGCGATCCTCCATTATTTTAACGGAATGTTCAAACGGCACGCTTCGCGCCATCAGTTTACAAAAGTCTCTTGCTTTAATGATGATGTAGGGATCCCATGTTTTTCTGGTTGTTTTGACAGTCATGATACCCTCGACTAAATCCAGCTCTCCAGCTAGTAAGTGGTCCTTTAACACTTTAACAACCAAGGGCCAGCACTCTTTAATGTAGGGTTCTCTGTACTGAGGAAATTTGATTTCGAAGGAGCTCTCCGCCAGCATTCCGTGTGGATTATCATCTTTCGTGAATTTTGGTTCGCTCCAGCCTTCAGGGACTTCGATTACAGCCTTCTTTTTCTTGAGAAACTTTTTCTTTCGCTTAGAATCGCCTGGAAATTCTGAAATTTCTTCGTTTGCTTCAGCCATGCTTGTTTACAGGTGGCGCAAAATGGTGAAATGTAACATTAGGAAATGTACATGTATTTTCTTCAATACACGATTGAATCTCGATTCTTTTGAATTTTTAGGTTTCTTGGTGAGGGAGTGTCATTTGAGAGAGAAAACCCTCAAAAAATTCGTCTTGACACGTCAATTAAACCATCTTACATTCGTCTTCATTTTTTTAAAGATCCAATTCCAGTTTTTAGACCAACTACTTCATGAACCCGGAAGCACAACCTTTCAAAATGGTTGAAAAATAAAATAACAATTAATTTTTTAAAGATTTTGGGATTTCAACTTAGATTTAGTCAGAAAAGTACATTCACATTAGGTAATGTCTGAATCTATTTGTTGTGCAACTGTGCCGTGCAAAATGTCGCTGTCGTTGTGAGGAGGTCAAGAAAATGTTTGAGATCTCAGATTAAATGACTGAGTCAATTGAGTGGGGGTGGGGCATTTAAAAACCGTCAAAAAGTGTACATCTCCTTATTTGTATGTATATTGAACAGAGGATCCTTCAACCCCAGAATTGTCAGCTCTTTAATGCTTCAAATTTAAATCTCTGAATAAAACTAAACTGCATTAAATACTTTTAAAAGAACACCCACCTGGACCTGTAGCAAATTAATATGATGTATCTATGGTCTACTTGTAACTGTGCTATGCATTAAGAATTAATAATTAACTTAATGGAGTATAAATATCTGGACACAATTATATCATTGCTTGATAAAGACGGAAGAACCTTCGTCAAAACGTCACAAGTTATTTATTAAAGTGTCCAGTGAATTTATAAATTAAACTTCTTTTTTCAGATATCAGCCTGAAATCAATATCAAGATGGCGATGATGGATAATAAAGATTTTCTTATTAATCACATTCGTAATTCGTTTATCACTAGTGATGATACAGGAATGTGTGAATTGATAATTGATGGAGGTGATGGAGACGGACTGGAAGATGATAAAAAATCAAGGAATAATAATGGAATAAAAAATAACGATTCTGATTGTAAAATCCCCCACAGTGACACCGATGGGTAATGACTAATTTCTTGAAAGATTAATGCCAAGATTTGACCAGTGGTAGAAAGTATCTGATGAATATATAACTAGCACAACAAATCTGGTCTTACCCAGTTCCTCTGACGTGATATTCAATATTCAGATTGGATATCAGAACTGGGTTTAGGGTCAGAAATATAATGTGGATTTTCATGGGAGTTGCTCCAATCCATTTTTGGGTCAATAGTTTTTGAGAATTTTCACCATGACAAAAGCCAAATTTGGCATAATTTATACAAAGCTGGACTATTAAAAAGTCAATCAAGATATATATGCTAACAAATTGTACTAACAGTCAGTTATAGTATTGAAATGTTATATCGTTTTTGATATTCTAGGAGTGAGTTTGATTCATCAATCTGTAATTCCAGTCCAGAATCTAACCATTCTCTAGATATTTATCCTGATATGGACTACGGTAAGACATTTTTTCATTTTTAACTATTCTCAAGTACTTTGGGGAAGTCTTTGGCCAAGTCCAAGGTTCAAGTACAGCATCAGAACCATTTGGCACGAAATTTAATCATAGATACGACTTAAAAAATCTGAAAAACTGTAATGTAGTTGATTGGTTAATTTAAAACCAAATTTGACCAATTGACCAATCGGGTGACTGGAATACTGAAATCATAAGATTTCGTGAAATAAGCTAATAATTTTATTTTATTCAGTTGGATTTTAATTTTCTATATAGGTGCCCACAGGAGACGTTCTAATACAGCTCAACGTCTCGATAGACTGAAGAAAGAAAAGAGAAGTCATCATAAAGCTAAAACTTTCAGTTGGAAATCAGGCAATGATTATAAAGGTAGGATTTCTTCCTATTTGGTAATAATCAGATAAACAGTTTTTGAGTTATTGCCCTTGACTTTTTTGACTTTTGAAATTTGGTTCGTAGGCAATATAGAGGCTACAGTTTTTATCCGATCTTGATGAAACTTGATATGCATGTATTTGTTGATGAGATCTCTGTTATGTTCAAATTTGGTAATAATTCGATGAATATATTTGGAGTTATTGCCCTTGATTTGATAAAATCAGATAGTGAATGCCAGAAATCCTGTATTTTTCAGTGGAAGAGAAGGGTTTTTTATTTGAACGTAAAGTTATCTCCCCTCCTGAAATAATGCTAGAGAAACAAGTGGGAAAGAAGCAGTCTAGATTATCACAATTGATTGATACAATAGGAGACAAGGGAGACAACCCTTTCATGGAATACGCAAGATATGATGGACGAGTAAGTAGCAATAAAAAAACCCAAGTACTAAAGATTCAAAACGAAACCTGAAATCGAAAACAACAGTTTTTTTACTTTTCACACTGATTAGCTATAAAATCTTGTTTCTGAGACTAAGGTTGGATTGGTCAAACAGATAGCGAACCGGTCTCTTCAAAATTTAGATAGATACCCTAAAACATTTGGGCTCTGACAGGACAAGACGTGAAAACTATCTTTATCATATATTTTATTTCTAGTTAAGTGGAGGTGTAGCTAGTAAAAGAATTGATATCTATCTAACCATGTTACTACCTAAAGAAAGAGCCTACCCTATGCCGATAGTTGTTTTGTCATCAGCTAAAGTCTCTGATATGATTGGAATGATTTGTTGGCAGTATACCAATGAACAGAGGGAACCTAAATTAAAGTAAGTATATAACATGAAACCACATTTTGAACACTGCAGAAAAACTATAGAATTTTATTTTTGATGATGAATTTAGAAATGAGGAGAGATGACTTATTCAAGGTGATCAGACCTTTACTGCAGGAATACTATTTGTACAGCCTAACCAAGTAAATGATGCCATGTAAAGAAAGATTGTAACAGTCTGACCAACTGCTCTACAACTCTTCCTATAGAAGTGGATAGACAGGATAAATATCAAGATTTGTATTGTAAAGCAAGGGATGAAATTCAGATGAAGCAAGCATGCCATAATGTATATATTTTAATATTGTAGAGAAAGATTAGACAATTATTCTCTCCATATCGCTGAAGATGATGGTGAAGTAGACTCTGATTTTCCTAGTTTAGATAATCGTGAACCTGTCTCTAAGTTTGGTTTTGGTAAACTAGCTCTAGTAGAGAAAGCGACGTCTGGTGTTTCACCTAGGGCTCTAATACTAGTCACAATGTAAGTAATAGATAAACATATAGAGCAGGGGTGGCTCAGTGAGTTAGTGAGTCACTAACCTAAATCCCGACATATGTCGAAATAATATCTTCAGATTTTTAACTTGCCAGTGGGCTAAAAGTTAAGTGATGTAGAAGCTTGCTCATTAGAATAAATGTTCAAAGCTCTAGGTTTTTCCACGTTTTTCTCTTGCCAGGGACAGGGGTCAGAGAAGCTGACATGAAAAAAATGAAATTAGATATGCAAAATGTAGACCATAAACTCTTATAATCATTTCAGACATATTCCAAATCGAGGTTTCAACAAGTTTCAAGTCGATGATAATAATGTACAGTTGAGAATTTTAATGGAGAAAGTTTTAAGAAGACGTAAAATTAAATTACGACCAGGATTAAAATATAATCTAGAGAAATTGAATGATCCTGGTGTTCCGATAGATCTTGATGCTACATTGATGTCCCTAGATACTCTAGAGTTCGTACTCATCAGAGAAAACAGTAAGATTATTAAATTTTATAAATCTTTTATTCTAACAGTGACCTTTCTATGACTCATCAGATTGGATGGGGGCAAGAAGAGGTCACTGAAATGTTAAGGAGGGGGAGAGTGGGCAAATAGGAATATATTATTTGTACTGACCATAGAATACGATATTATTCTGAGATGTTTTAGAATGCTTTCAAGTGTTTAAAGGTCAGGTTTATTGTATTTTGGATGTTTATCATTGATACTGTAATTTTAGAAGGAATTGAACTTTAAATTTATAGGTTTTAGACTCAATATAGGTTGAAAATATTTTTTTTTTTAATTCAATGTTATATTTTAGGTGCTCGAGATGATCATGATAAATATAATAAAAGTTTTGATACCAGTGATGTAGCTGAATCACTAACTAGTCACCAGTATAAATCATATATAGTTAATTTAGTACATCGACTTCGTACTAATACAGAGGTACATTTAGGTAAGATATTTATAAATAAATTCGTGGTGGACCTATAGTATCTGAATTTATACCCATTGATCAGTACCTTCATATATCATCTCATAAACATATAGAAACTACAGTTTAAAAAGACAGTTAAGATATTATTTCATAATGAAATAAAGAAGTTCTAGTATTATCATTAATTGAACCTATGGTCACAACACACATGACTCTATGATCTGTAAGTTTTCACCGAATACATAAAAACAAGGACAAGTGGAATAATGAAGAAACTGTTAAGATCTTAATAGATATAACTGTAAAGCAAGGAATATATTATATTTGTAGGAATTAGTGGAGAGAAGGTAGAAATAGATCCAGTTATAAGTAAAGGAGCTTCACGATTATTCCGTCAACGAGCCGTATCATTCGATGCTGATTCCATCGCAGATTGTCATCTACTAGAACAGAAATCAAACGGTAGGTCAGACTCTTTATCAGAATGAAATCAACTTATATCTTAGTAAAAGTAGACCTCTAATTTGGGTGAAAAATCAGAAAAACAATGGAATGTGTCAGACACTGTCCTTCTCCAAATCAATATAAAGGTTGGCCTCTCATTTCAGACTGATTTTACACACTTTTAAATGAGCCAATCAATAGTTAAATATTGACTGATAATGGGGGATAGTTTTATTGTGATTATGAGCTATGTTCAATATATGAGCTAATATACACTGGAAATAAATTGGTGTTGTCTTTTTTTCAGGTAAATCTATATTTAGAATCACTCATCTAGTGGAGCCAGATTTTAAACATCATGATTTCGAGGCTGATCACGACACATCCTCTGAGATAGTCCAGAAAATAAATCATATATTAGAACTTCGACTCAGTCCAGCCAGGAAAGATTTCGTCTCATTCCGAGAGAAACGTTTATCTATGAGAAGAAAAGACTCATTTAAAAGTAGTAGTTGAACTTGAAGACAATCTAAATAGTAGTATAGGGTGTTATAAAATATACTCTCCTATAGAAGCACTGGCCAAGGTCACAAGAAGAGAACATACTTATGTTACATCAATTATCAATTTGAGTAATAAAGATTAAATTAAAAGTAATATAATATTGGTGAACTCCACTGTCAAAAAAGTGAATAATTTACCAAATTTGATTGAAGTATTCGTCTTTTCCATTTGCTTGGTGGACGAGGGGAAGCAGGGATATACAAAAGGGGTTTAAATAGTTGAGAATGATTGTGTGATGTTGACAAAAAGGGGGTAAAAGGAGTTATGCCCCTTTAAGTATGATTGTTATTGTTGATGAATAAAAGTAACAATTTGTTATCTGTTATTATTATATTAAAGATATAAATATATAAATAAACTGTTTTATATACAATAACAACAAGTTTTTAATATACCTACATTGAAATGTTATTAACCAATGAAATCTTGTCCAAGATGAAATTTGAAGGGATTGTTACAATAACTAAGAATCCTGATAGCATGAATCAATTCAATTTCATGAGGCTATTAAATTATCATCATACCAAGCAGTTTCTTAATTTATCTAGATTTGATCACTGTGATCTTTCTGACAAATTTAAGATTAGCTATGAAATGATTTGTCGTATTGCCTGTTTTAAAGTAGAATTATTAGGTTGTATTTTTAAACCAGAATTAAAATCATTTTTAGCTTGCTCTAATTTTCCAAGTTTATAATTTGCTGTACCACGACGATAAAATGCCTTCACGTTATATTGATCATATTCTAATGATTTGGAACAGTTCGCGATCACATGATCAAAATTTTCATATTTAAGTTGACAAGCTGCTAAATTGAGGTAGCACAAACTTCGTAATTTCTGGTAGTCTTTGAGTAATTTTATGGAGATCAGCGCCTCAGGATGAATACAAATAAGATATTTCAATGCCAAACTGTATTTTTTAAATGCTGCAGGAATATCACCTCTTTGGAAGAATTTTGTTCCTAAAGTTTTATGATGCAAGGCTCGATCATATTTCTCTTCAATTGTCATTTCATAAGATGATTTTGAATTTTTGAAAGCTGTTAATTCAATTTCACAAATTACATTGATTTTTTCTGCTGAATTTTCACATTTTGAAGTTTCATCGATTCCACAAGTTCCTGTCGAATTAGCACTGGAAGCATCACCATTGACGAATTTCAAAAAGTCTGAAAACTGCTCTGAATAAAATTCCAAATCAAATTCTGCAATTTCTTCTGGTGCCATAGACATTAAAGAAGTTTCAATCAAATCACTAAAACTTGAATCCAAATCTCCCATCACTATGGTGAAACTTTTCGTTGAAACGTTGCGACCTTTGATTGTTATGTTGACAGTGCATTCTGCTCCATCATTCAGCCTCTTACACCCAGTCCCTTCTTTAATAACAGTTTTATTGAGATTCTTTGTGTCTGGGTGACTGGCCATAGTGACTATCTGAAATTTAAAACATATTAAAAGTTTGCCAAAGTATCTTTAATCCTGTTACTCTTTAAATACCTATTTGGGATGCATTAGGTTCAAATCCTCAACTGTTCAAGGTAGGAAAACTTCTCATGCCTCAGCCTGAGTTTTCACTTATCTTTCCAAAAGAAACAGAAGAACCATCTTGATCGGAATATTGAAAGTAAGACTTGCCAGTCTTTAAGGAGTCTAACATCATTAATTAATGATGTTGAGTGTAAAGAAGTAGACCTGTTTACCGCCACAGAACATGAAAATACAAAATTTAGTGTCAAGTCTCAATCATTCACATTAAGCTCTGGTCTAGTTTCAAAACCATCAAGATAAAAGTTGGCTTACCATCTCTGTTGATTAAAGAATTTGAAAACAGGTCGACACAATTCCAGTAAAAATTTGACAGCGATTTGTTTACATTCACGACATCTTCTCTTGGATTGGAATTTATTACGGTTCGATTTTAGAACATCTATTAGAAAGGTAATCAAAACTGTATTGACGGGATCCATTTCTTCAAAATCATTTGAATTTGAGAAATCGGGTCTTTAATATTGAAATTATAGAATCTTTTGTCTGTCATTAAACTATTTTCATATTTTGGCTTGAAATTATATTCCATAAGTTACAACTAATCCGTAAATGGTAAGTGTCATGGCTGACAATTCCACTTCCTGCCAACTTGGCCTGGAAAAAAATAATTAGTAAGTGCCATATTTCTGATCGTCTGCCATTCTTGCGATTAATTTTTATGTCGTGTCACAGCCACGAGTGTTTAGAATAAGGAGAGTGTCGTTTATTGCTGATATTATCTTTAGAATCTTTGGAAAGTGTCCCATATTTTTCGCGAAGAACCAAGAAGCATTCGATTCTTTCTTTAATCCAGTGTCTATTTGAGTACCAGTGGCAAGACATTGACACTAGCCCCTAGCCCTCTGTAATGGAAAAGTTTGACTCAAGGTTGTGTAGTGCAGTCCCTTAATCAACATTACCAATTTCCCTGCTTGCACACTGCTGGGTATTGCTGTTTTTATTAGCCAAATAAGACACACAATTGTAGGATGCCCTATTTCTTCAATAGGGATCAGAACAGTAGGATGTAATATTAAATTTCACTCTATTTCTAACAGCAATATTACTGATATTAGATATGTTATGAAATGAAATTTGATATTTATTAGAGAAAGTGTAGCTAGATGAAGAATAGAAAGTGTAGAAATGTTTGCCAAGTTAAAAAAGAGGATACAAGATGAAGGGGGGACAGTGAGTGATGGGGAGAAATCTTTTACTGGGTCACCAGTACCTGGTGGAGCGGCTAGACGTAGTTCAGGTATGAAAGAGATTGACCCTTGATTAGATCAGGGTTGTTTTCAAATTATAACATACATTACAAAGAATCAAAACAAATTATCAAAGTGAGAATTGTTTAGTTTATTGACAAGACATATGCAGTGCCTCAAAAAGCCAAAAAATTGACAAGCACACCAAATCAGATCAATATCAGCTCAGAAGATAGCTGAAACAAATCAATTTTATCATTTTCTTGAATATTTTGGAAGCAGCAATCTTTTAAGGAGATAAATTGATGATTGTTTTAATGATATTATTTGTTTCAGTGTTATCAGATACAGGTCAGGAATCAGCCAGTGAAGATTATGGGGTAGGTTTACTCACTTTCTTTAGATTGTTACAGTAATCAATGCCAGTATAAAATCTCAATGTTGATTTAACATCTTATTTTCACCAGAAGGCAAACTTTGTAAATATTGTTTGATATGAGGCAAGTCATATTCTACAGAAATCAAATAAAATCATAAATAAGAGGTTAAATATTGAAGATATATTTTGATATTATAGGTTACATCACCTTCTAAGAGTGAAGATATTTTAGTTAAAAGAACTGAACAATGTCGCAGACTGGAAACTAAAATATCAGGTAGATAACTGTTAGTTATATAAACAGTAAGAAATAATCAGGTGGTAAACTAAGTCAAACAACATCCACTAACATTCTCATCAATATGAAGAGAAGTCAACCATTAAGAAGATTTTCTTGTACAGTTTGAGTTAATAAAATAGTGTTTTATATCCTAGTTTTCTTCTCCTGTTTTGGGCTGATGAAAACAGTACCTGATTATTTTAACAAGTTTTGTATTTTTAAAACCTGATTTGTTTTGTTTTTTTTAGAATATGCTACTGTAATAAAAGTTAAAAATAAAATGATAGAAAAATTAGAATTAAATTTAGAAAAACAACAAGATAGTAAGTATGCTATTAATTTTATTCCTAATACAGAGAAATGGTTTTTTTTATGAAATTGACTAAAATTGATAAGGTATATTAATCAACTATTTCTAAAATTTTCATGATAGGGTTTGAAAGAGGACACTGGGTTGCTGTGCATCAGAATTTTTCTCATGTAACTTAAGGAGGATTCAAACCCAAGCCACCTATTTTCCCCAGTAGACAACAATCCAACTCACTAGTCACTACTAACTAAGCTATTGAAAGATGTTTGATTATATTTTCTAGTCAGTGCTAAGAAATGTGAAGATTTAAACTGTCAGTTTCAACAAACTCGAGTCAAATTATTAGATGATCAGAAAGCAGTACTAGAACAGAAGGAAAAGGTTTGTTTGATACTCTTTTACTTTCTTTTAAATATACAATGAATTTTGATTACACTGGTGCTATTATAAACAATTATACCTTAGAGCTAATCAGTAATAGTGTTCACAGCTCACTGTCGAAATTTGAGCCTTCAAATCCATGTATGTCTGGAATTATCCATGTTTGAAGACAAGTTACATATACATATTAGCCCCATGAAAATGGCCTCTAAAGATCAGTATTTGTTTCAGGAAAAGGAGGTGTTAGAAAAAGAATTAAAAGAAGCCAGAGAATTTAAAGATAAATATTATAAAAGAGAAGAAGAGAGTGAAGAATATGAAGGTTTGACAACTCAGGAACTAGCTAAAGTTAAACATATGGTAAGAATATATTCATATCAACCCTCCTATTTCCCAAAACATAAGGCCCATCCCTCAAAAAACTATGGCCCAGCCCCTCAAACATATGGCCCAACCCCTCAAACATAATGGCCCAACCCCTCAAACATATAGCCCCATGGATGTTATTGATATATATATATTTTAGTTACTACTAGCACAAGAAGAGTTAGGGAAATACAAGACAGATCTGGCCTCAACAACAGAACAGTTAGAATCTTCTAATAAACAATCTAAACAGTTAGAGACAGATTTTACAATACTCAGAGATAAACATAGTCTTCTAGAGAAAGATAGGTAAAATATTTACTACAAACATCGTATTTATTAGGTTTTAAACAAATTTTAAACAGCACATATTGTACAGAATGAAAGATAAATTATTTATTACAAACATCATATTTATTAGGTTTTTTGATGTTTTTTTTTTTTCAGTGAACGTTTAAAAGAAGAGAATAAAGAACTGAGTAGATTGGTGAAGAATTTAACCAATGAAAAAACAGTATTTGAAAAGAGGCTAGATGAAGTCAACGTTGAATTAACAGAGGTCAGAATTTTTCTGTAATAATTCACTCTGGTATTGTTCTTGTTAAAGAGATTGTAATGAGGTTTTCTAAATTTTGTATGTGTATCAGAAATACTATTAGCATCTATATACATCATTCTAGTTTTCAATCCGACGTCTGTGGTTCTTGAAATTCTACTGTACCTAAGCAATTTATGACGTCATTAATCCCAAAGGTTCTTAGATATTATTAGCAACTCTTCTATTTATATTTTTCTAGAAAATGAATCAACTATCAAAGGCTGCTGGTGAAATGGCAGAATTAGAGAATGAATTTAAAACTCATGTTCGTAATTCTGATCTATTTAAAAACAAGGTATGTAACTCTGTTTCTTATTTTTTGACTTTTTATCCTGTGGTCAGACTTCGGTGTGAGGCTAGTGCATCATGAGATATTAGAATCAGCCAATCAATGACAAGGAGACAATAGATTAATGGTGGACCAGTTTTTTAATTTCTTGATTTTCTGGTCTTCAGTCTGAGAAATTATTGGAAGAAAAAGAATATATTATTAAAGAATTACAGGAGAGAGTTAAAATAGTAGAACAGAGAATACAGGTTCAAGATTTATCTGGTGATGACAGACTAACAGCTTTACAGACTGAGGTACCAGACTATTTCCGACTTAAATCTTGTATATTAACACACATATTAAATATTATAAATACATCCACTTTCATACTTTCTGTTTTATTTGGTTAAAAATCACCATCTCTTACAAGGATCAAGAACCATTGTCCAATCTATTTAGTACCAGGGTACGGACTCCTTGACTTCAGATTTTTCTAGCATGGTAAAGGATCTAGTTATTTAGATGAAAATGTATATATTATGTTGAAATAGTTTGATGTTTGATGTTGTAGAGAGATGGTTTAGAATTTAAGTTAACAGAAAGTCGTCAACAATTATCAGATATAAAATCAACTTGGAGTGATAAAATAACACATCTTGAAGAACAGGTGAGATTATTTGATATTCCTGGTTCGGAGATCAGTCAGTTACGTTGGATGCAAACTCAGAAAGTCTTGAAAAGGAAGTTACTTTTCAACTTGAAAATCTGAAGGTTTATTGCTGATGAAGGAAACATGCCATAAACTGTACAATAATAGCTTCTAAATTCAGGCATTTACTTGCCAGCGTGGAATTCTTAGAGCTCTTGCAGAATTAACATTTTCAAAAGAACAACAAAAGCTAGACTTCTTAGACTGACATTTGTATGGCAATTTCTTTTAGATTTCTCATCTGAATTCTAAGATTATTGAAGATACTGATGAAATGAAGAATAAAGATAAAAATATTGAAAATATGAGAGAAAATTTTCATAAACAGGTAAAACTTTAAAATTAATTATTACAATTTATTATCATAAACTATCAAATCCTCAGTTCATAATGATGTTAATATCTATTAAGATTTAAACAGGTTGTAGGTGTAATGTGAAACCTAACTGTTAAATTTCAAGTTCTGGCATAGAGGGCTCCTTGTGATTGACTGGAACACCAAAATCTTCCAACATTTTTAGAGAAACAGAGCCCAGGGTATTTTCATTTAAAAAAGGCTAAGATTATGATATTTTTTTTTTTTTTTGTGATCAAGATGGAGAATTTACGACATAAACTAGAAGATGCTGAAAAAAGATGTCTAGAAAATTGGGAACTGGTTCAACAGAAAGATAAACTTTATGAGAAACAGGTATTGATATTTACTGAACACTGCATGACATAGCTCATCCCTCATTGATAACTACAAAGCATTATTCATCCTGGCTAAATTTACATCATTGTACACTGGATGGTGTGATAAGTTAATGTCCCTGCTTGAGCATGATGTTCCTGTCTTCATTAGCCACATGGTGCAGAAAAATAGGACGTAAAACTCCATTCATTTCATTTCATATGAGCATAGTGTTGCTTGTCTTTATTAATGTCCCTTCAACACATATAGCCCCACCTAACTAAGTTTCCCTCGTTGAATACTGTATGGCATTGTCTGTGTTCAGTAGCCCAATAGAACAGGAACATAAATAAACTTCACCTAAAAACATTCAACTTTTTCTGAGGCTTCCTTTCTTTTTCCCTCAACAAAATATCGACTTGAAACAAACTGTGAATATTTTTTGTAGAGAGAAGAAAAAGAAACAGAAGTAGGAAAATTAAAATTAGAAATGATGGATGTAGAAACACAACTAAGATCTAAATTAACATTGTTAGAGTCACAATTAAAGCAAGTCGAGGAGGCTAGAGACGTAGAAAAATCACAATTCACTCAAAAAATAGTAAGTTTAGTTTTTAACATTACAATTTTATTAGGTAGAGATTTTTTTGAAATATATTTTTGACAAAATTTGGCTATATTTATGAATGGAACTTCATATATTTTGAATATTTATAATGTTATATTTTTCAGTCTAATTTAGAAGAAAAAGAAGAGAGATATATGTCTAATCAGCTGAAATCAGATGAAGATATAAAAACTCTAGAACAAGACGTCACTAAACTTCAAAAAGAGATGTTTGAACTGACAGACGAGAACTCTAAATTAAAACAAACCCTACAAGACAGAGACCAGACTAGTACTGAATTGTCTCAAAAGGTAATCAACACAATTTGGGGGCAAATAACTGACAGGGAAAACTGAATTGAAATAATTATACCTCATGTTATCATTGGTCTGTTTTCAGTGTCTATGCTCTCAAAAGATTGAAGATTGTAGATTACTTGGTATGATTGTTTTATAGTCAGTCTACGAGATCCAAACCACAAATTACAATACATATTTCAAGAAACATAACTATAGAGTCTATTAAACTATATAGTAAACCCAGTATTGTGTGCCCATTAATCTTTTGCCAAGTTTGACTGTTTGAGATCTGTTTTTATATTTACAGTGCAGTAAGCTAGAAAAAGAAGTATTAGAACTTCAGTCAGAATTATCTACAATTCAAATAAAACAAGAAGAATTAGAACACCAACTGGTAGAAAGTGAAAAAGGTTAGAAAAGTCATTTTTCTGTAAAACTTTAGGGTTACGTACATTTAAAGAATTAAAAGTTGGTCTCGATATCATTGATGGTGGGTTAAAGCAATGGATACTAAATAAATGGCGATATTTTGTGAATCGTTATCCAGGGCAGGCTACTCCGTATTGAAGGATTAAATGGAATATTTATTGGAATATGCTGACAATATATAAAGAATATTTTACCTTATTTCAGAAAAAGATAATTTATTATTAAGAAATGCTGAACTTTCACAACAAATAGAGAAAAATAGACAGACCTTGACGGAGAAACAGACTGAACTTCAACAGGAACTAGAAAATAAAACTCAGGAAACACAGCGTCTACTGGGCGTTAAATCTGAACTAGAGTTAAAAATCAGCCGACATGAAAATAAGGTAGGGGAAGATATTTCTTCTTGGAATCACGTTACTTTGAATTAAAGGATGATCTATGGTTAAATTAAGAAGGGAAAAGAGTTTTACTGAAATCTCTTAAAAAATCTGAAGAAAAACCTGATTTTCTGTTATTCATAATCATTTTCTTCACACCAGCTAACATTAACAACATCTTAATTTTGTTTTTTTTGTTGCCAGCTGGAAGATTTAGAATCTGTTAAAAGTCAGTCAGCTGTTGACCTTGGTAGAGCTAATGACCTTGAGAAGGTGGTGACCGATTTACAAGACCAGTTAACAGATAAAACCAGGGTAAGAATGATAATAACACAATTTATAGTGGAAAGGACAGAATTTCTCTCTTGCACACTATGTTAGCCGATTAGAAGCAGAAAAGAATTTACAGTATAAAAAGTCCATGGGTTCCTAATAGCGCCAAAATTTTGTCAATATATTTCGATGATTGTTTTCAGGCTTTAAAGAAACAGGAGCAGACGGTCAAAGATTTACGTCAGACGTTACAAAGAGAGTTGAAAGTTCAGTCACTGCCGAATGACGACTCATCAGATAGAAGTCGCGGAAACTCGCCATTACCCGTCCGTAAAAATAACAAACCTGCTCAAATTGAGGTTAAACCCATGCCCTCAGTCTCCATGACGACCAAAAGTCAATCTCAAACCATGTCTGCTATAGGACCAGCACCGCCCCCTGGTGGTGTGTTGATGAGTCAGGAAGATTTTGACCGTCTGGGATCATTCAGTGGTTATGTTAAAGACAAGACTCCAGGTTTCCCTGAACGAGAAGTCAACCTACAATATCTTAAACATGTCGTGTTGAAATTTATGTTGAGCCGAGAGAGTGAGGTCAGCACCTTTTTTATTAAACATATCTATATCTATCTATATACACTTGTTCGCTAACCTGAAGGTCCAGAATTCTATCCCAGCATAGATCGACAGTTTCCTCTTGTCAGTGATTAAGGTCTAAAGGGGAAACATAAAAAGAGAGTCTTATCATTTGATGAGACAATAAACTCAGGCCCCATGACAGGTGAAAAATTAACACTGTATGGCATTGTCCAGTATTTATTAGACCAATTAAAAGTAGGATGTAAAAACTCTAATATATAATTAGTCATGGACTTCTGTTTTCAATTTTCTAATTTTGAAATATTTCAGGCTTTACAGCTAGTAAAGGCAATCTCGGTGTTACTCCATTTCTCCGTGGAAGAACAGAAACTGGTTCAACAGACACTGGATTGGAAGATGTCTTGGTTCGGGTCAAAACCATCGGCAGGGAAGGGACAACTCTCAAAAATCATTCCTCCCTCCTACTGATGATCAGGTCCAAACATTTTAAATTTCAAAAATTATATTTTAGTTTGACCAGCAGATTTATCCTCGAAAACTTTATAAAATGATTTTAGTGTTCCAGACATCTGATTGGTCAAACACTAAAATCAACTTTTATTATCCAATCAGATTACTGTATTTCTTATTATTTGTATCCAGGACACTGATAGCATCAATTTACATTATTCCAATTTTTAATTAGACATCTGTGGTTCTTGCAAATGGAATGAAGCGAATTGTTACATGACATAGCTATTGCAGAGCAGTTCTATAATTACAGGAACCACAGATATCTGACGGAAAATTGGAATGATGTAAATAGAAACCATAAATAACCTCTGTCAAACTTGATGTAATCAAAACCACAACTATTTTTTGCTTTTTGCTTCAATCCAATTGGATTTGGGGTCCTTTTGTTCAAAAGCTTAACTTAAAACTGTTGTATCCATGACAATGTTATAAATCACAGAACAGATGTAAGAATTTATTTCTGTGTATTCGGGTAAATATATCTATGTACATCTTGGTAAAACTCAAAATATAAACAATCAACTTTATTTTGAGGTAGGACAAATAATTATAAACACAATAGAAATCTGAGATATATTCAGGTGCTAATTATTATTAATTTAATATATCTAACAATGTTATTTGGACTTTTAATAAATGAAATTGGGATGCATTAAAACAGTTATGCCACATATAAAATTGGAATGTATTTAAAATGCAATGCCACATATAAAAATGAGGGCTAATCAGTTCGTACCGCTATGCCAGGTCACTTTCTATTTTAATCCTAAAATTATATAAAATTGTGGGTACTTCTGCCAAATTTCAATGCCATGTATAAAATAATGGTCTATTTTAAAGCCTTTCTGATTATGAAATTGGGATGTTTTTAAAATTGTGGGTATTGTCAGCCTATTGAAGATTCATATAAAATAATGATCTATTTTAAAACCTACCTGATAAAGAAATTGTATAACGTATATTGTATAATGTAATTGTATATTATATTTATTGTATAAAGAAAATGTAATTCTATATGACGGTGGGTCTATATCATGTATAATAAACACATGGTTGTGACACAAACTCTTCTTTCTTTTTGTGAGTTCCTGGAGCCCCACCCCACCCCACTTTTCTACCCACAATACGAAAGTTAACTGTTGTCTATGGTCTTTTTGTTTGCATTTGATTTTCATGAAAGCCCTACATAGTATGACATCTTAATTTGAATTTGATGAGTGGTCTTTTTAGAGCAAGGACAATTTCAATGGAAATAGCCCTTAATTTTGATAGTGGACTCTTCTAGGCCACATGTTCTTGTTGACTTGTATAGAAAATATGCATGTGTGGAAGGGTTCATTAATGGATTAAAGGGGTTGCATGTTGTGATGTAGGCAAGAGTTGTGTGTGAACATAAATTTAAAAGCTTTACCTTATTTCCCCATGTTCATGTTCATTCCATTCAACTTTTTAGCCTACAGCCTATAGGCTAGGTCCTACTTCGGGTAATGACACCAAGAGCACAAAACCAAGTCTCTACAGTCCTCACTCACAAAAGCACTGGCAACAGAATTGTTTTTATCTTGAGCTTGACTTGAGAATGATTCGAACCCACAGCAACTAAATTGTCCATCACAGTACATGTAGTAGGTTAGGTGCATAGCAGACGACAAATATGAATTCTTCGTGCCAGACAAGAGTGAAAACACAAGTTCATAACACAAATTTCCTCAAGACACTTTGTAAAAATACCTCAAATGGTCAAATCTTCAATGTGAACTGTTTTCACCAACTGACAAACAAAACATGGCCGGCTCTCAACCAGAAAGTTTTTTGAGTTAAATTTGTAAAACATGTGTTTATGGCCGCCATGTTTCGACTGTTAAAGGGAAATAACTCTCACTTTGTTTTGGTAGTCACTAAAGCAAAGAGAAGCTTTCATCAAAAAACCGCACCCAAACAAGTAAGTTTAGTTCTTTTTCTACAAGTTTTTGATTTAATTTTGCAATTTGATTTGAAAGGACAACTCCAAGATTCCATCAAAATCAAAGTCCTAATGTTTCTAAACATTTGAGTGAAATTTGACATTTCGCAATGGTGGAATTGATCATGGAAATGAAAGGGACGTGGCTGATCTTATGAGAGGGTCATTTTGCGAATTTCTAGGACTTAGATCGTGTTGTTTTTCTTTGGAGTAAACGATGTTTGCAATTTCTTTGAAAATAAGTAAAATCCTAATTTTATATTTCAATTCCTTATTAATAAGATTAGGTTTTGAAATGTTTTATGAAAATATGTGACCCCTTAACTAAAACAACCCTAACTTTTAAGGGCTACACTTCTTAGTGAAATATTTTACATATTTTGATTGTCAAAGAAATAAATCTGCTTCTATTTCGTAATTTATTTAATTAGCCTTAAAAACTGTGCAATATTGTTCAAGTATGACCCAAAATGGCCCTGCTAAGGATCAGCCTAAAGCTGATTATGTCAGAGCCATTTGACTATAATAACTAGCCTGGAGTAAAAATAGAATATCTTATGATTTGGTGTAATATTTGTAAAGTGATTATAAATTTAGGGAAAAATTATTTATTACACTCTAGATTTGATTTTTATTGAAAATTTTAGTTAAAATAAGTTCTGAGACTTAAGACAAATTTAGGGTAAATTATTTATTTTTTAGTTTAGACTTTATTCAAATTTGTTGACAAGGAAGAAAGTTAAAAAACACATTGTGATATTTTAGTTGTAGATCTTAAGTGTAAGGAAGTAAGCTATAGTAATGTAAGTCAAAATTTTAGAAACATGACATAGGAAACATTTTGTCAAAGATCTGATCATTTTCATTGAAAATTTATTATAAATAACCCTGTAAACAAATAATATAATAGATAAGTTGAATGTCCTTACTTCATGTAATATTGGTTCACTGGTAGATTAATATATTATAATAAACCGCGGCCCCATGTACTACAGGATGTGCACTTTTAAGATCCCTAGACAGTTGGGAAACTAAAAAAGAGCAGGCTTATGCTGCTGTTATGGCAAAAATTTCCCTCATTGAACACTGCATGGCGTGGCCTGTCTTCATTAGCCTACATGGTGCAGAAAAGTAGGATGTAAAACTCTATTTGTTGTTTTTCACTGTTTTTAGGCTAAAATATAAATATCCAAGTTTATCAAACAATTCATACTCTTTCTTTAACAAATAATTAAATCTTTTCATAATACTGAAATAAAGACATTAAAATCTGAGCAGGGCACATTGACCTAACGACACAAACCACCACCCTACAGGGAGGATTTTAATTCTTATAAATTAATTATACAGCTGTTACCATGAGAACAGATATCATTGGGCTAAATATGACATTATAATTATCTTTCTCTACTCAGAATTTACAATAAAAATGTCTGAAATATTTATGAATTATTAAATAACTTGATGAATTTAAAATTCTATAAGTATGAAAATAGGATGTTTTGTTATTGTGTGTGTATTCAAGCAAACAGGGGTTAGACTTGAAACTAAACTTGTATTACACCTAATGTTGTTTCATACAATCGAGATCCACCCTGTTTAAAAATAACTTCAAGATAATTTTAACTTATTAAATACAGAGATGTTAAAGCACTGAAACTAAGTCAATTCTTTCGAAAGTTTTTCTTTTAGATTTTACATTGAACATGATGTCATTGTTATTTTATTAATTTTCAGAAAAACTAATCCATCATGGAAGTAAAGGAAACTAGAGGAGGACCTGGATTAGGACCAGTACCCCAACCAACACCAGGTTATCCCCAACCAACACCAGGTTATCCCCAAACAGAACAACCTGGTGGATATCCTCAAGGTCAGCCAGGAGGATATCCTCAAGGTCAGTCAGGATATCCCCAAGGCCAGCCAGGAGGGTACCCCCCTCAAGGTAGCCCAGGGGGTTACCCCCAACAGGGTGGTTACCCAGGACAACAACCCGGGGGATACCCAGGGGGTCCAGCTATGATGATGCAGCCTACAGCAGGAGGTAAGTCAAGGGACAGGATTATTTTATTGGATCACTGAGGATGGGGTTGGGGGAGGATGTTCATAATTTTCTTTGGCTGTTGAAAGCACTGGCCAAGGTCACAAATATTAGAGATAAGCTTGATAAAATAATAAGGTGGATTTAGTTTTGGTGAAAATCTTGCATTATAAAATACTAATATTGTATAAAATGATATTTTAGGAGCCCCAGTTGGTGGACAAGGGGGATGGATCCCTGCCCCTCAACAGGTACCTGTAGACTGTCCCCCAGGGCTACAATACCTGACCCAGGTTGATCAACTTATGGTCAAACAGAAGTTGGAAGCTATTGAAGGTAAGTATCTGAATTGCTAGTGTAAATTAAACTTAAGGTGATCACAAGTTGGGTATGCTTGTAAATATGAATATCTGTTTATATGTTTCAAACTCTCATGTTACTGAGTTGTGAATTGTATTCAGAAATCATAACCACTGTCATTATTCACAACTATATACAACTGGTAATCACTATGGTGTATGTCATTGCTTCAATATTCTAAATTTAACTTTTTCTAACATTTATAGATATAGTCAGTTTTATTAGTGACAAGCATAACGACCCATAGTGCTTAAAACTCTGAGTAATAACATGATTTAGGTTCTGTTTTAATATTTTTGAATCTATATTTAAGATAAACTGACAAGCTATGTTATTATATTTTAGCTGTAACAGGATTTGAGACAAACAATAAATATGAAATAACTAATAGTATGGGACAGAGAATATATCAGGCTGTAGAAGGTAATTCAAAACTTTTTATTTTAACTGTTGTAAATGGAATAAGAAGATGTTTATACTGCTGACCTATTGGATAATAAACTCAGGCCCTGTGAGCTTCTATCAGTGATATCAGGGGCTAATATGGAGTCATTCAGATGAATAGGAAGGTCCTGTGTTCTATAGGCTATGTACATGTTAAAGATCCCACAACAGTTGGAAATGGATTTAGAATTGGCAAAGACGCTATGAATGCTACAGTCTGTGCTCTACAAGTTGTGGATGTTGGAAAGCTTAATAAGTCTATCTTAGTTAAGTTTCCCTCATTTCACACTGCTAAGTTGGTTCAATTTGTTCATAAATACCGGCAATTGTTCGGCTTAATACTTTAATCAAAGATTATTATTTATAAATACTTTATGCTTGATTTTCCAGACACTTGTTGCTGTACAAGAAATTGTTGTGGAGCATCCAGACCGTTTGATATTAAGATATTGGATAATACACGTAAACAAGTTATACATCTGTCTCGACCGTTACGTTGTTCAACCTGTTGGTGTCCATGTTGTTTACAGGTAAGATTGATGACGATTTTAAAGTCTGGGCTAAAACATCGTAACATAAACAAAACTCTGATTGGTTGATGTTATTACAGTGATATTATTGACCAATCAAATGTTAGAAGATTTCATCCATCTAGAGTATATATCAAATCCATCTAGCAAACTACCAGTAAGAAAATATTTTTTAAATTAACAATCAAACGGCAATAAAATACAGTAATAAATACTCACGATTCTCTCTTGTAGAAAGTAACAGTAGAAGCGCCACCTGGTAAAACTGTAGGTTATGTTCGTCAAGCCTGGAGTTGTTGTAAACCAAAGTTTAAAATTAACGATGCCAGTGATCAAACTATATTACGTATTAAAGGACCATGTTGTCAGTGGAATATCTGTGGTGATATAGATTTTGATGTAAGTTTTGTGTTTTATTTGGGGGGATAGGCAGGGATAGAGAAGGATGGGTCAGGATATAAGGGAGGGAGGGAGAATTAAAGGACCATGTTGTCAGTGGAATATCTGTGGTGATATAGATTTTATTTTTCGGGGCAGGGACGGGCATGGGGGGGGGGTTGTGGGTGGAGTAGAGGGGGGTTGCAGAGAACTTAACTCTAAGCGGTGATCTTGATGAGAATTTAATTTTTTATTTTTGCCCCCCAAAATGCCATCAGCAATTGTAAGAGAAGAAAACATGCTCAAAACCATAATTCTATTTTAACAAACATAAGAAAATATGGGCTATCCAGAAAAAACATAACTGTTATTTTTCCAAATCAAATATTGTAGGGTAACCTGTTGTTAAACCTAATTTTCTACTTTTCCTCTCCTACAGGTAACATCAGCTGATGAGAGTACTGATGTCGGACGTATTTCGAAACAATGGACAGGATTAGCTAAAGAAATGTTTACAGACGCTGATAACTTCGGAATGAGTTTCCCACTGGATTTAGATGTTAAAATAAAATCTGTTATGTTAGGAGCTGTATTCCTTATTGTAAGTTATATTTTCATGTGAACTCTCTTAAAGAGATAAACACCTATTCTAACTAAACATTATTAGCTATGTGGACTCTCTTATAGGGAGACTGACTCTCAATCTTAGCTGTATGTAAAGACATAATAAAGGATGTGAACTCTCTGAAATGGGATGTCGAGTACAAACCTTATACTACATAAACAATATTAACTATGTTAACTCTCTTAAAGGGATGCTGAGTTGACAAACCTAAATACCAAATGAATATGATTAGCTATGTGAACTCTCTGAAAGGGATTTCAAGTTGACAAACCTAAATACCAAATGAATATTATTAACTATGTGGACTCTCTGAAGGGGATTTCAAGTTGACAAACCTAAATACCAAATGAATATTATTAGCTATGTGGACTCTCTGAAAGGGATGTCAAGTTGACAAGTGATTGCTGTGAGACAGGAAGGGCATCAAGTCTTATAGAAGAATGATATTTAGTCTAATCAATATATATATTATATTTTTGTCAGGATTTTATGTTTTTTGAGAAAGATAAAGATGATGTTAAAGATGAAACAAAACGTTTACATTAAAATATCTTGTAAGTTTTTCTTTAAATAATCTTAATTTTAACTTTTTAATTCCACTCAACCTTTCAATTGTTTTAATCTTAACTTTAATAAAGCCCTAATAATTTCATTTGGTAATTTTTCTTGCATTTTCTCCTTGATGATTTTCAGGTTGTTGACAAGAAATTAACTGAAAACCCACAGAGTAAAATGGAGAAACAGATTTTTTTTATATTTATTAGTTTTTTTGATATAATATTTCATTTTATATAAATTTTAGTAATTAATTAATTAATTAATGGCATGATTGAATTTCCAACAAAATATTTGTAAACCAATAAAACAGAATTTATTATTTATTTTAGCCAATATTCAAATGACGTTTTTTCTATTCTAATTTTATGATCTCCACATTAAGATACATGAGAGCTTGTTTATCAAGGGTTATCTTTAGAAAAGGTAGAATTTCGATATTCAAATTCTCTTTATTAATTATAAATCTATAACCAATGTAAATGTAAATGTTGAAAATATCAGCTGGACAAATATAAGCATTAATTGTTAAGATATGATAAATAGGTTTTCTAAAGTTTTTATATGTATCAGAGACACTGATAGAATCAATTTACACCATTCTAATTTTCAATCAGACGTCTGCAGTTCTTCCAATATTTAACACTTAGTTTACGTGGAATTGCAGGAATCACAGACGTCTGATTGAAAATTAGAATGGTGCAAATCAATGCTATTAGTCTCCCCAATACACATAAAAAGTTCTGAAGTTATTATTATTTGTTTTGCATTTAATAAAACTGTTTTTGATTGTACAGTTTGTTAAGATAAAGTTATAAAATATTATATTTGTAATGATATACTGCTGTTGTTGTATTGCCTTATTAAATAACTACTTTCATTTACTCATTCAGAGAGTACACATAGCTTTTATTGATTCCCTGAGAATCTTTAAGAGAGTTCACATAATTATTATGGATAGCTTGGGGATCTTTTTCAAGATTTTTAACATCGCAATCATGTTGAAGTCTTATAAAAAGTAATATTTTGACTTGCTCATTCAGAGAGTGCACATACTTATTTTGATTGCTTACAGAGAGTTTACAATGTTATCATAAGGCAATTTTACAAAATAATTTCACATAGCTCAAAAATAACTGAAGTATTTGTTCAGCCTTACAAAAAATTGACTATTGCAAAGTAATTATTTGTATAAATTTTTAATATTTTAACCCATCATGTGTTTATTATGTTAATACCTGATGATATATAGATGTTGAATATCACCAGACAGTTAATATATTTTTTACTAGAAGTGCTAACAAGAGTGCCAGAGTTTTGATGTTGTAATTTGTTCTGTTTTAAAATTTCTTAACCCTTTTAACACTACAGGTCAATCTACCTACTATATAATAATATGTTATATACCCTAGCAACTGTTATTAAGTCAGGTCATATAATGTCAGATACATTTACTTTAAGTAATATTCATTGAATTCTAGGGTTTACCATGTTTTATTTTATTTACACTCAGTGTTTAAAGGGTTAAGTTAATTTTTTGCATTAATTCGTGTTTTATGTAATATGCACAATGTTTCAATTTGGACCAAATTTCATTTTCAAAACAAAGAAACTTGATAAAATTTCATTCACAAGGCCACAAACCATCTTATCTTCAAAATCTAGATTACCTGTTATAACGCCATTCTCAATGTCATCTTAACTCCATGAATTTTCAGAATTCTGATTGGTCAATAACTAAATAATCAACCAATCACAGACATCATAAAATTCAAATCTAAGATGATGAAGAATATGATTGGTCAAAAAATATGAACCAATCAAATTTATTAGCTTTTATTATTTTGTTTATTTTCGATAGTTTTCTCAATGTTTTATTTTTTAATTCTATAATTAATTCAAGAAGATTTTATGTGAATTTTTTTTTTATTTGTTAGTTGTAGAATTTTTCGTTTTTTCTTTTGTCTTGCTTTCTGTTTTAAATATTGTAAGTGATCAACTATGATATATATGTAATTTGTTGAAACATTGTGTTCAGTACAATTCTGTTGTATACCAATCAAGGTATGTAACAATGTAATTTGTTGAAACGTTGTGGTCTATATTTAGATTCAGTAACTAAACAAACAGTCATAGTATATCATGATGTCAAGTGAAAAATTTCATGATTGTTTTTTTCCAATAATAATGTGCTCAAACTATTTTTAAATTGGTGTATTTTTAACAAATATTTGATCTATTTTCTTGTATTTCTTGTATATTTAGAAATATTTTGATTTTGTTATAATGACCTTGGACGTCTACAATATACTAAAGAAATGTGGTCAAATTAAAATATATTAAGACAGAAGACTTATATCACCTCAATTCATTTTGAACTAACATTGGTCTTAAAGGCAAGCAATTTATTTAATAGTTGATATATTTTTTACTTTGTTATATTTCTTAATGAAAAATCACTGAGAAAACAGACAGTAGCCTAAAGTTATAACACAGGCATAGAAAACCTTAAAAAACTTTCACAAAATAATAACATTTAAATTGTAAGAAAGCAATTTCAAAATCAAGAAATGTCACAAAAGCACAAGCAGAGGACTAAGTAAGTCTTTAAGTATGATATATATTAGAAATTTCTCTCAGAATTTATGTAATGTGCTTGAACTATTGTTATATAACGAAGTTTTAATTGATATTAAACTATTAATAATACAGTCACAGTGTTTGTTTTTATACAGAACTAGATTAATATAGATTAAATATTTTTAAAACAAATCAATAACTGTAAAATAAAATGGACTATTCATTCAACAACCAAGGTGACTGAATATGAATGAAAGTCAAGGGCAGTAACTCAAGATAACAATAATACTATAAATAAATAATTAATATATTTTTAATCAAAATAGAAGTCAGCAAGAAGACATGAAAATCACATTTAAATCACAAAAATTTCATACAATTCATTTATTTTCTTACATTCATCTTATTCTCCCGGAAATAACCAATCAAATTATGTCACTTTTAAACCAGTTTAGGTTTCTAGTCTTCTGATTGGATGACATGATCTAATCAATTCTTATAAAGAGAAGCCAGCTAAATATCTAAGCTATATCATTAGAATATAAAATAGCCAATCATATCATTTTAATTTCAAACCAGTTAAGGTTTCTATGTCTTTCATTGGTCACATGGTTCTTACAAGAGTTATCCAATCAACTAATGTTAATTTAAACCAGTTATGGTTTCTATGTCTTTGATTGGTCACATGGTTCTTACAAGAGTTATCCAATCAAATCATCTTAATTCAAACCAGTTATGGTTTCTTGTATCCTGATTGGTTAAGTTTCTTGCCAAGAAAAGAAATAACATGACGATGATAAAATTGATCATCAATTTTTTTTATGAAATGGGGCCATAGCTTCTCATCTTCTAACAAGTCTATTATTACCAGCTTCTTAAACTACCTAAACTACAGTCAACTGATGTAATCAAACTTTGAATCATATGAATATTCACAAATAATTTCTGGACTCTCCAAAATAAACAGCACTAGATTATTCTCTTGAAATAAAATCAAGGCCCTGTGATAGAGATAATGAAATAAATAACATGTATAAAGACGAATATATGAATAAATTAAAATATTAGACACGCCTATCACAGAAAATTTTTGACACAAATTTTTTATACATTGAAGGTTTATGCAAGAACCTTCTCAAATATTATCTCAAATTTTCAGGAATTTTGTTGGCGCTTTTTAAAATTTGGGGAGGTTTTTTAAATAGATACATAATTATTCAAAATAAACAAATAAAAAATAGAAGAAATCTTAAAATTTAGAAATATAATTTGAAAAAAAAAGAGCAGTAAAGAATGCTGGTGTTAGTTGGCTCTTTCTTTCTATTCTTTTGTTACTATCATTGAAGACAACATCTCCAAGTTCTGATCCAGTTTTTATCACCTCATTCAGCTCAGGAACTAAAAGAATGACAACAACTCAGTTTCTCATATGAGATATATAGCTCTATTCTATTTTATTTTTTTAAGAAATTTTAATCTAATAGGCGTTAATGAGTTATTTCCCTTGCTACAAGTATAACCTCTAAAATTATAAAACAGTTCTACTCTATAATTATTTTCAGCTATTTCAATCAACTAACTAATGTTTCAAGAGTTATCCCCCTTGAATGAATACATCCACTCGATTAACCATTTAGCCAGCATTTAGGAATTCTTAAGAAGAGTGAAAAATAGAAAAATTTGAAAAAATGACGAATGATTTTTCTTAATGAATAGTTGTTCAAAACATCGAGAATTTTTTATAGGAAAGTTTAATGAATATACAAACAAATGACATAAATAACGAAAAAAAAAAATCACAAATTTCATGAAAATCCAAATAAATAACACCACAGTAGAATTAGACGATAAATATACGAAAAAATTATAAATTATTAGTCAAAAAAAAACATACTATAAAACTTGACAAATATTCTAATATCTATTATTATAATAACTATAATCCCACGAACATTAACTTTCTACTTAAAATATCCAATATAATATTTATTTTTCATGAAGACAAACAAATTGAAATACCTTACAAGTTAATAAGATGAAAATATAATCTATTTTTATGAGAAAATTTGCAGATTCAATTTCTAAATTTATGAGTTTTTATCAAATTGAGAGAAGAATTATTTTGGAAGAAAAATTTAAATGAACTTTAATGACTAGTAATTAGTAAGGAAATCACAAAACTAAAATACAAAGAAAAATAGTGGACATAGAAAATATTTATTACAAACTGAACAAACATCTCCTTTTACTATTAATTAAGATATAATTATAATTATTGAAGACTTCAAACAATGGCAAGATAATCTTACAAATACTAAAAAAGTTATTGCATACTTCATCCACAATATGGAATAATTAAATACTTTAATAATATAATTTACTTTTTGGCCAAAAAACTCAAACTTGCATAAACTCATGTTTATAGTCTTATCAAATTCACTTTCATGATTTTATCATTTTCACTCACAAGACGGCAATAAGCAAAGCAACATGTACTAATAATAACCATATATAACTAAATAAAAATAAAAAATAAAGGCAGACTTGATAAAAAGGAAGTCAGTCCAAAACATGCTTTCATATTCAGAATCCATTTGCATTGACAAACTAGTTAGAACACCAATAAAGTTTCCACAATATCTTATATTTTAACTTTAAATGGACCAATACCAAGTTGATATTCTAAATTCAAAATCTGCATCAAATCATTTTTAAATTGTTGAATCCTTAGTCTCCATCCTGATTCAAAATCAAAATCCATCTACTGAATTACACAATTGACATCAGTCTCCTATGCAAGTCCAATTTGAAAATCTGAAAACAGCATCAAATCCATTTTAAGGCTACATAGTTGAATCGTTAGTCCTCAATTTTATTTCAAATTCAAAATCCATGTATAGTGTTATAGAATAGACATCTCAGTCTCACATATCAGTCCAAAATCAAAATCTGTACACAGCCACAAATACTTAGCACAAAGATGAAAAGACACACAAAAACACCAAATAAACACATTAACACTAAATCCATAAACACTATAAGCTTTTGTTCACACACAAATTTTCACACTGGATTTTCTTTAGCATTTTCTTCTCACAAAATCTTCACAGTTTATATATATACAAAATCTTATATTGCAAATGATCAAACCTTGAAAAAAATATACTTCAATATACTTGAATTATTCTTGACATAGAATAGAAATAATACACACAGAATAAGTCTAAATTGTAAATTATCCCATTTCATTTCTCTTTTATAACACGCTGTCAAACTTTCAAATTTCTTTTCACATTTAACTTGACAAAATCCACACAATATTTGCACTAAATCCCTCATTGCAAGTCAGATTGTTAAATCAACAGTGTAAATCTATATTTTAGGTATACCACAATTAAAGATAATTTTAATGTAGCACTTAACCAATTTTAAAACTATTTGCACCATTTCAATATTTCAAACCCTTTCTTTTTTTCCTATTTTGTTTATTAAAGTTTAGTCACTTCAGCACTTTCCTGTATATTTCTCAAAACACAAAAGAAAGATCTTTCCTGTTGGTCATTCTCAAAAGCACAATTCCTTTCAATTTCAAAATTTCACATCAGAGTTATCAAATCTTTGAAATTCACACACGGATGTCACAAATGTTGATCCGAATGAGGATGAAAAACGATGAAAGTAAAAAATTAAGCCACATTATAAAAGATGTCATGGATTTACGTTAAAAGAGACAAAGATGTTGAATAAGTTCATCATATCACAGAGTCGCTCTATTTCTTTTTAATTTCTCGCCATTTAGAGTCACAAGCGGATCACAATTTTATATTTTATAGTCCAGTTATTCACAATCACCTCCATTTTTATAGCCTCTATTCATCATTAAACATCAGCAGGGGAGTTAACTGTGTCTACAAAATAAAACAAACATGAATGGTTGCTGATTGGCTGTATTCAGTAGCGTACAATCCAATCAAATCACTACATTGCTAAATTTACCAAGATACATGAAATGTGTCTACAGTTTTGTAGTCAAGGTATAAGAAGATGGTTGTAATAGCTTGACATTGTGAAAATAAACACAACTAAGCTCTTCTTTCAAGTTTTAACTTCTTTCTGAAATCCAAGATAATCCAATAATCGTACTTACCCCCTCCTCATCGTCCAATCGTAGCAATATCTCATCATCATCATCACTTACCATCAAACTCTCATCTGATTGGTTATTATTTAATAAGGGGTGTGTCTCTATTGAGTTGTCTAGGTAATCAAAGTTTGACAGATCTTTTGGCTCCTCCTCTTCTACTATTTCCATTTGTTGTTTAACAAAATTGATAAAAACCTGAAGAACGATATAATCAGTTAGAATTATTGTTGATCAAAGATATTATGAAATCATTCAGGAGGCGATGGCACTACCTCCATTACATCACTGATAGGGGGAAACCTGGTTGAAAAAAAACACACCTATGTCTGGATTAAACCCTAGACCTTGAGATTAAAGAGCAAGCGTCTAACTGACTGAGTCACCAGAGCTCTCAGTCTGTAATACGAGGTTTACCTTCTAAAGTTAAACACTGAAAAAGTAAGAAATCATTTCAAAGAAAGAAAGAACTTGTGAGTTGTAAAATAGCTTACATTATCCAGTGTATTTTGACTGACTGAGTAGTCTTCGACAGCCAGGTCTCTCTCAGCCTCTTCCATGATAGTAAATAAATTAGACAGAGACACATTAGCTGTTTTTAATTCGTACTGTAATAAGTTATAATGCTGTTCCTGTAAACAGAGAGAAGAAAGTTAAATCTCTTATAGAGAGGCCCCTAGATTTATTATATTGAATTATCTCCCTTTCATATCAGAACCATGATTTAAATAACAGCGTTTTTTCTCACAACAATTTCAGCCTACCTTTAACAATGCTTCTGGTATTTTCCTCTCAATAAATCTCAGAACTCCTCTCTGATTCCGCTCAAAATCTGGTCCTTTAATACGAATACTGAACGTATAGCCTTCTCCGTATTTATTCTTTAGATGTTGTATAGAACCCAAACATTTAAATCTTCCATTAACCATAATCGCTAGACGAGAACACAGAGCCTCGCATTCCTCCATGCTGAAAATAAAATACAAGTTTTTAATTAATATCATGTTTCTATACATGTTTCAGATACACAATCCTCATCAGGACAGCTAGTTTTAATATAGAACTTAATGTTAGCTAATTGATTAGAGTTTATCTCATACTGTTGACATGTTTCAGATACACAATCCTTATCAGTACAATCAGTTTTGAAAATGTTGCAAGATTGACGTCTGCTTACCTGTGTGATGTTAAAATAACTGAGCGGCCATCTTGGATCAGATTTAAAATTAAATCCCATAAAAATCTTCTAGAGTGTGGATCCATTCCGGTAGTTGGCTCATCCTAAAATTTATACACAATTCTTTTTTCCACGACCTGCATTACTGACAAGGGGAAACAACCCTTAACTTAAGCCACTATAGCAACCTAAAGACATGACAGTGGAATAGCTCATTTGGTAGCAAGTTGGATTGTCGTCTGCTAGGACAGTGGAATAGCTCAGTCGGTAGCAAGTTGGATTGTCGTCTGCTAGGACAGTGGAATAGCTCAGTCGGTAGCAAGCTGGATTGTCGTCTGCTAGGACAGTGGAATAGCTCAGTCGGTAGCAAGCTGGATTGTCGTCGATCCTTCTCAAGGTAGAAAAATTCTGATGCCTGTGCCAGTGCTTCCTAGAGTTGGCCTGAGAGTCAGCTCTCATCTCCTAATACATAATAACGTACCATAAATATAACAGGAGGATGTCCTATTAAGGCAATAGCTGTAGATAATTTACGTTTATTTCCACCACTAAAAGTTCCTGATAATTTATCAGCATATTCAGACAATCCCAGCTTCTCTAGCGCCCAGTTTACCACCTGAAATACAATGAATTGATAATGTCAATCAGGGCAAAGAAATGGCACAAAAAATAGGCAAATAGACTGACTTAACTTTTGAAAAAATAAAACATCAATTTAACTTTTAGAAAAGCATCTTTCAGGTTAAAATCTTGACTGTAATATTGTCTCAAAACATCATTGCAGGTAAGGTGCCCTGCCCCACCCCAAGGTGATGCCCTACCCTACCCTAGTTACATTCCCTACCCCTCAAATTAAACAACTCCACTCTACCTGTTGTTCATCTTGTGGTGGTATACCTCTCAATCTACTATAAAATTCTATGTGTTCTCTAGCTGTTAGTTCATCGTATAACAAGCTACCCTACCCTACCCTACCCTAGTTACATTCCCCACCCCTCAAATTAAACAACTCCACCCTACCTGTTGTTCATCTTGTGGTGGTATACCTCTCAATCTACTATAAAATTCTATGTGTTCTCTAGCTGTTAGTTCATCATATAACAAGCTACCCTACCCTACCCTACCCGAGTTACATTCCCCACCCCTCAAATTAAACAACTCCACCCTACCTGTTGTTCATCTTGTGGTGGTATACCTCTCAATCTACTATAAAATTCTATGTGTTCTCTAGCTGTTAGTTCATCATATAACAAGCTACCCTACCCTACCCTACCCTAGTTACATTCCTCACCCCTCAAATTAAACAACTCCACCCTACCTGTTGTTCATCTTGTGGTGGTATACCTCTCAATCTACTATAAAATTCTATGTGTTCTCTAGCTGTTAGTTCATCGTATAAAGAATCAAATTGAGGACAGTAACCGATATTTTCATGTATTTTCTTTATATCTTTTATAATACTGAAACAAAAATATACAAACAACGTGTCATATTCAATATCTTCTTTTTTCAATCGTTATACAAACTTTTCTTTCATCATTCTGAAACTTCATCACTATCCATCTCAAAACAGAAAAAATGTCTTTTAGCTCGTCTGCTAGACAATCAGGTGTTGTGGGTTTGAATCCTCCTCAGGGTTAGAAAGAAAGATCTAGAACTCTGTACCTGTGACCATTAAGATAAGCTGTACCAGCTGTCGGAGATAAATCACCTGTTAACATTTTAAACGTGGTTGTTTTACCTGCTCCGTTAACACCCAATAATCCAAAACACTACAACAGACAAAGATGAAAATCAAAAAAAAAATTGTCATAGATGTTCAAAACAATTTACTTCCCTTCTAATACTATACATGCTTGTTTGATTTGAATTTTTAGACTCAATCCCAGGGTAAATATAATAGTTTTTGATAGACTTACCTCCCCTGGTGGTACACCCAGACAGATTCTATCAACAGCTACATGGTTTCCTAATTTACGTGTTCTGTACACCTGAAACAACATCATCAAAATTAACTCAGAGCCACAAGTAAAAGAAAGAAATAAACAACTATATTTTACGAGGATAACAAATAAGGTTCAAAATAACCAGTTGGTCCTTGATCAAACCTCTTGAAATGACTCCCTACCTTGGTAATATTTTCTAATCTAAGTAAATCATATCGTCCATTTCCTTTCAATACTCTCTTTCTTTCCATAGTAACATCTATATCTTCATCTTTTATTCTGGATGTCGACACTTTCTGACGTCTGAGAAAAATAAAATTTAAAATTTTCCACTAAATCTTCTGTTAAAGCATTACATTCATCACATTCCATCGAGAGAAAAACAACTCTAGGTTAGGGAACGACCATCTAAAATATCAAGTCTAAAGTGAAAATGACACGAAGTATTATCTTGACCCATGATGCAATGGTTGGCGAGCATGTATCCAACGTAATCTCCAATAAAAATAAAAGTTTACCTGGCTCGTATAAAGAAACTATATTCACATAGCAACGTAATAACAAAAAACAACAATCCAATTCCAGCCATAGCAACCAGATGACTGGTAACTAGGTCCCATTTTAATGGTGACTCCATTTTATCATATTGTCCTAAAAATATAATATACATAAAATACATCAGATCATCAGTTTTACATCCTACAAGTTGGCTGCTGATTGGGCTAATAAAAACATATAAAAAGGAATTAAAGTTTACAGCAGGCTTGAGAGAAGATAGACATCCCAGAAACATTCTAAAATTCTTAATATAAGGCAATAATAAATATATATGTTATCGAAAAGTCCTATGTGTGAATAACAGTGAATAACAATGAATAACAGTGAATAACAATGAATAACAATGAATAACAGTGAATAACAGTGAATAACAATGAATAACAGTGAATAACAATGAATAACAGTGAATAACGTAACCTACCAGTTTTAAAATAATATTCATTTTTATATTCATTAAAGGCCAGATCCATCAGCCCTCGTCCCAGACAATAATTAGGAAACATCATCAATACGTATTTTAATGTGTCGTGAATTTTCGCCAGGTCCTGTAATAAAATTAGATTGAACATTACAATTAGGAAAAGATAGAAACAACTATATCTTACAACTTATGTTCACAATTTAGGATTCTACCAGCTGATCCTTGGCCAAACCTCTTTCCAGAATTATCTGATTTTTCGATTTCCAACTGACGAATAATCTTTAAGCATGGGGCCTTGTTCTGGTTTATTTTCTGTCTGAAAGATAATAAAAAGAACGTACCTGATCGTAAGAGAATAGTTCCAGTAAGAAACTGGTGATGATACACGTAATTCCAGTAAATAAATTAATAACAATCAGACAAATATAGGCTGTACTAGGTTCATTAAATATAAAACTAGCTGGATACATCACTGGTGTCATAGACCATCTACAAATATAAAAAATATTCATAAAACATCGAACAGGCTAGCTTAATTAATAATAAACTTGATAAACAATAAGCCATAATGTTTACAGTCTTTCTGTCGCGTGCTCTGATTGGCTGTATTCATCGGTATAAATCAATTCAAATTGCTACATTCTATACCTACTAAGATAGGTGGTTAGTGCAGTCAAGGTATTTGAAGATTGAAAGCTAATGATATCAAAATAGAACTTGTAAAGTTGATACGTACCCATACATTAAAAATAGAGCTATAACAGATGGTAAGTTATCAGTAGAGACGTAAGCTGGTATTTGAAATATCAGTAATATTAATATACACATTAAGGCTGGGATTACATAGTTACACTGGAAGATAGAAAATAAAATGGAGTTTTACATCCTATGGTTTGTACATAATAGAGATAATAAAATAAAATGGAGTTTTACATCCTATGGTTCGTACATAATAGAGATAATTAAATGAAATGGCAGTTTTCTTTTCTGTTTGTTTTTATAGCAACATCATGCCATTGTTAAAGGAAAGATAATCTGACACAACAGTGGCTATAATCTACTCTTTTACAAACTGTCAAAGCTTTTTAACATGAACATTGTCTTCGAATTGAGTAAATTAAATCAAAATTTAAAACTTACGATATCCCAGACATAGTTTCCTATCCAATAAACCACAGGGTTCATACCAGTTACAAACTGTAGATGTTTAGCTTTCGTTGATTTCTCATACACCAAAAATACCACGAAACTAGCTGGTACAAACGACATAGCCACAATAATAAATATAGCTATTAATACATCTGTTCCTTGCATTCTGAAATTTAAGTATATATAATATACTACATCTTGAGATAGAAAAGCACCATGCAGTGTGCAATGAGGGCTATTTTGCTTAGTTCTTTACTTTCGAAAAGATCAGACTGTTGCATTTGAAGTCACAGATAGATTTGAATGCAATCACAACTCAGTGAAAGCAAAGTTCTACCATGTTTGAGATTATAAATATTCATGAGGTCACATGATTTTCAAACTGGCCAATCAACTAGCTTCTGTTCAGTTATTTTTACAAATTGATTTTTAAAGATGACGCAAGCGCGAAACCCCTTAATAATATATAAGTATGGTAAAACAAAGTGAACCCTGTTCCCATCTATTCATTGATAACAGTTTAAACAAAGATGGAGACTTCAGTTTATTCAGAGCAGACGACAAACTACTTACATATAATTCAAGGTAGATAATTCATTATTAGTTTTATCCCAGGGATGATTAATAGCTGTGATACCGTAGGCTGAGGGGTTACCTGCCCTTGGTGGTAGATTAGCTCTCAAGATGGCGTTATTGACTGCGTTTAGGAAGACGGGCATAGAATGATATCCTTTATGGTTGAACCAATACTAAAATATAAGATTAATATTCATTAGATTGTGAGATTTAATGTTTTCATTCAAAAAATTGTAACGGTTGAAGTAACAGATTTCTTACCTTGGCAATTTTTCTAACAGCAAACTTTTTAAACAATGGCGGAGCATTTTCACCAAAATTTTCAGGCACACATCTTTGTTCTAAACCAAATGACAAGGCACCGTATCTGAAAAAAATAACAGTTACTAAGTTGGTGCTTGATATGCAAGTTCTGAACAGGTTGTGTCTGTTCCAATTCTGTATTCTATCCAACAGTGAAAGCGAATAGTCCCATCTATTTCCTTCTCCACCATTTTGAATTCTGTCTGCACCTACTACTTTTTCGTTCTAAACTCTGTTCTGTTCCAGCTTGTTTTATTGAACGTTCTGTGGATTCTATAAATCCTGAACATTTAGACATCACCAATCAAACAGCCCCCAGTAGAAAGTAATGAAATTTTGTCCTGTACCAACCTGTGTAATCTATAATCATAAGTAGTATATAATAAGTAATCTTCAGTATGTTGTCCTGTAATATTCTGTAATATATCTTTAGTTACTACTAGAAAACTAGGAGGTTCAGGATGGTACGAGCTACTACAAACTAAACCAGTACCATCTTTTAAACATTTACAATTAGGATAATAATGCTTGGTGGAATAACTTGGATCTGAAATGGAAGACGGGAAATCATTTTGATGCAAAATAAATTCAAGAGGTTTCTAAACTTTTTATATGTATCAGGGACACTGATAGTATCAAGTTACATCATTCCAATTTTCAATCAAACGTCTGTAGTTCCTGTAGTTGTAGAAATGCTTAATCATATATGACAGCAATCTCGATTGAACCCTGGACTCTCAGGTTAGTGAGCAAGCTTTGGCTCACTGCGATACCCCATGCATTAAAATCCTGAAGAAAGGTTCTTACCCATAGGCACAGTGGGGCTGGAGAAATTGACGGTTGTTCCTTTAGTAGGTAGAATAGAATAATCTGGAACGTAACTATTAAGATGTAGTCCTGATTTAAAAACCTGTTCACATTCTTTATTATAATATCTTGACAACAGTTCAAATGTCTGACTATCAAAATCACTACGCCTACTACCAGACGGACTAATATCGGTGTCAAAAGAACTATTAAACGCCGAACGTAGAACACAAGTTGAACCAATCCCAGCAGGATAATGTAAAGTTTTCAACAACTTTTCAGGTCCTGCATCCAAACTTTTGGCTTGTCCATAAAAGCGTTCATTTGTAAACGGAATATAGTTGCCATGTGGCTGCGTAAGATTGTAATATTGCGATGGATTCAACACAATAGGTGGTGCATCATCTACAGATGGTGCTGCTAAGGCCACAGTCATTGCCACGGCAACGAAAACAGCAGGTAAAATAATCTGGGAAAACAAACTTCGCCAGTTACGAATGATGTATCGACAGCGTTTGGTGATGACAGCACGGAACTGGTTTAATAACAGTAGTTTGGGACTTAACTTGTGGCTCCCTCTACCTTCTAACATGACCCGTGGTGACCTGGATTCACCTAAAATAACAAAAATCAGCTAGTTCATTCATTCATAGAAATTAACGAGACAATCTCCAGTTTTTGAAAGATGGTTATTGGATGGGTTGATGATTGGTACAAATTTAGACAGAATTATAATCACAAAATGAAAAGCAAACTAAATCTTACTTTGATCAAATTGAGTATAGATTTTAGGGTATTTCTTCTTAGCAGCCTTATTTTTAGCTGAGTCATTCTCAATGTCGGCCATTGCTCCTAGTTCTAAAATATCATCATCAGCAGTATTGATTCCACAAGCACCGGCCATGCCATCTGATAATAACGGTTCATCATCACGATTCATTAACAATTCATTCAACTCATTCTGGTTGGTTTCGTGGATTTCACTTCCGTCCAATGAGGAGTTGGCTGTGACGTCTGCTCGCAGTTCTTCTAGCTGTTTATCTTCTTTTGTTTCTATAACAACAAAATTTTAAATTGAAATTCAAGTTCAGGGCCTGGATCGTTAAATTCGAACTTGAGAAATCGACACTAATGACGAAATTAAAAAAAAATTTTTTGTGTTACTCGGCCCGGTGAAACTGGGTCCCTGATTAAGCTTATTCAGAGGTGAAGCCATGCAGTGAGCAATGGGGTACAACATATAATCAATCAATCAGAACATTAGGTTTATATTTTGGCAGGAATTATAGCTTACTTTCAGTTTCTTGACAAGCAGCTTCCGTGACCTTCAAAAATACTTCTTCCAAGGTCGTATCCATGACACCCATACTAGAAATATGTAAATGATCTAAACCACTTTCACAAACCAAGAAAAATTTCTCAAAGTTTCCTTTCTTAGCTTCTTCAAATGGTAGAATATAATGAAGCTCTCGTGTTGTTTCATTGGCTAGGTAGGCTGATGGGATATGTTTACGAATAAACTCTGTGACCTTGACCTCTTCACACAATGAGGTCGGAACTGTTTCTATTTGGCTGTGGATTTCTGGCTCATCTGAAAAACATTGAGATTTCAATATGATTAGAAAATTGGAAAAATCTCAAAGAATTTGGACCTTTTGTTTTAGTTTTTGTAACAATACTGTTGTCAATAATATTCTCAAAGTTTCTAAAGCCAGATTTATCATAAATTATCCCCAAAATATCAGGAATTGCCTAAATTTATTATCAGAAGTCATTTTTTATATAGTTAAAGAGTTTCAGTATAGACTTGGAGATCAAAAATTTGAAAACCAACCTTCATCATTGCCACCATTATTTTCTGTTTTGACCAATTTAAGATGATAACCTTCTCCTACATTATTCTTGAGAAAAATAGACGAACCACAACATTTTAACTGACCGTTAGAAATAATAGCTATACGATCACCCAGAATATCAGCCTCGTCCATATGATGTGTAGACAGCAAGATAGTACGATCTGAAAAAATAAACAACAATATCAGAATAATGACATCATACATCATAAGTACAGAATAAGACAAAGTATTGAAAAAAAACTAGCTGAAAATATCAAAAATATTCTTACTTTGTTTATATTGTACTAATAAATCCCAGATAGCTCTTCTAGCGTAGGGGTCAACACCAGCGGTAGGTTCATCTAAAATAACAGTTCTTGATCCACCTACGAAGGCAATAGCTACTGATAATTTACGCTGCATTCCACCTGACAGACAATCTACCTTACTACGTCTTTTATTAGGTAAACCTAGATCTTCTATCATTCTGCAACAAAACAATATAATATTTCAAAACTTCTAGAAATCTGATTGGTCATTAAATAAACATCCCGTCTGATTGGTCAATCACTAAAATAGATTTAAAATTTAGTTATATTATCCAATCAGATCTCTATATTTTTTATTATAAGGCCCATGTACCAAGTGATATACCCCAGGTTGGGAACTAAAAGACCTACCTGTTGGTTTCTTCTTTAATCTCTTCTGGTTTCATTCCCTTTAAACTGGCATAAAACCACAGATGTTCTTCTACTGTCAGACTGAAATATTGAAATATAAAAACTACAGATTTCAAGATATATCAGTGTGCAATGAGGGGAATCATGACAACAGCATTAACTGTACACAGCAAGAGCACAGGAAGCCTTGCTTTATTGTCCTATCTAAACCACTAGTTGCTTGGTCTTACCCTCTGACCAGCATCTCTGATAGGAAACTGGGTTTAAATACAAAGGATCTTTGACAACTATTTCATTCCTCGATTTAAAGCCAACTGGCCTGGATCATATATCCAAAACATGTGTTGTTTTTACTTTAAACTAACAGCATGAAAAACTTACCTTTCAAATAGAACATTATGTTGTGGACACATTCCTAAACTTTGTCTAATAACATCCATATCAGTCCTGATATCCAAGTCATAAATAGTAGCATAACCTGATGTAGGTGGGATCAATCCAGACAGGATAGACCTATAGGAAACAAACACATTTTAATGAAACTCTGAGTAATAACATGTTTCAGGTTCTGTTTTAATATTTCTAATATAAAGAATGAAATTTAAAGAGAATTGTTAGGTTACGTTAAACAATTGTTGGTCTTGGTTTTAAATTTCAATGAGTCTCTGAAAATAAAAATGAAAGTAAAAACCAAACTTACATGGTAGTTGTCTTGCCAGCTCCATTGTGACCCAGAAACGATGTAATCTGACCCTCGTATAAATTTAAACTTAATTTCTTGACAGCTACTTTCTTACCAAGTTTATAAACCTTCGATAGATTTTCAATACGAACTCCACGATCTAGATGAACTGGTTCTTGTTCAAATTTAAATATATCATCTGAAATAAAATTACAAATTAATCAGTTTGGTTTATAAAACATATTTTCATAACTTGACTCCATTCTCGTTAACTCAAATCTTATCATATTTTACCTCATTAATATCAGAATTAATTAAACTATTTAATGATACTTTCAAATGAATTTTCTCACTGTTCAGCGAGTGTTTAGTGACGTCACAAAGACTATTCCTTTGAACGACGTCACCATCTTATCAATGGATCTATTATGAACATGGAATTAGATGAATAAAGGAAAAACAAATTGCAGTAACATACCAGGATCTCCTGCCATAGCACCAGCCTGATCATCTTCTATTATAGAAAGATAGCTAGAATTTTTACGACAGATATCTAATAGACTAGAACAATCTTCTACTGGTTTCATACTACCTCCACACCAATATGACTTGGTAAACGGAAAATACCAGGGTTTAGGTAAACCATATGTTCCTAGAAAATATTAAATAACATGTAAAATAACACAATGGTAGAAACCAGGAAACCTAGATGTTTTCATGAATGGTAAGAACCATGGTTTATATAAGATAGGGGGTCATTGTGGTTTAACACCCTTGTAAGCTAACCTGAAAATCCAGGGTTCAATCTTGGCACTGGTCGAAATTGACCTATGAATTTTTCAACCTCAGTGAAGCATGGTAAAATAATCTAGTCGTTCAGATCGGACAGTAAACTGAGGCTCCGTGTGAATCAGGCTGTCGACATACATAAACATTCACAATCTCATCAACAACTGATAGGGCTAATGAAGACAGTAAACGCTATGTAGTGTACAATGAGGGGAACAGGATATTTAAAACACTCTCAACTTACCAGGATAGACGTGTTCTATATACCAGACTAAGAAGAAATATAAAAAACAATCTAGAATGGTCATCAACATAACCATAAAGAGATTAAATTCATCATCTTCAACTGGTGAAATATAGAAATTATCCCATTGTACACCAACACCCATTTCTTCATAAAACGCAAAATATTTTGCTCCTAATCCAAAGGCAGTCGTGGAAAAAAGGCACTGAAATTACAGAAATGAGTTTAAATTCAAATTATTATCAAGAAAATCAGCTGAATTCAAAAGTTTAAAGCCAGAATAACAGTCATATGCTTTCTTCAGTAAACCAAATTAGTTCAAGGCTCAAGATTTCACCTGAATTTTTTTTTTATCTTATGATGATAGATATCTTATAAACAAAATTAGTCATGTGGACTCTCTGAAAGTTCGATCTCAAATACTTAAGAGAATACCCTTCTATGATCCTATTTAACAATCTTAGCACTAGGATATCCTAGAAACAGTGTTAGAAGTAAAGACTTTAAGATCGTTTTGAAAATATGCCTCCTGAACTTTAGCTTTCTGTCCCGTCAAAAACAGAAAACGGAAAATAAAAGAAAACTTACAGCTATTGATTTTGCAATACCAGGCATTCTATCACCAGCAATATCTTCTTTAATGGCAATATACATATAGGGTACATACGACAGGAAATATATTATACCAGCACATGCAGCAGCTACTTTCGCTTTAGAATATAATACACTAATCAAAAAACTGTAATATAATAAACATTTAGACTTTATATAATAATATACAGATACAAAATACAAATAATACACTGGTTCTAAACAGGGTATACTTACTCTTCTAAACACCTGATACCACTTTTCATTATGAAATACTTACTCATTTATAATTGATATACTTCCTCATATAAAAATTGTCATACTGTCGTTTGAATTGCGGGTTACGTTCTGTTTTTTTTATTAGATTTTATTTTCAATATAGACACTTCAGTTAGGGTCTAATGACAGCCCTCTTGAACATTTGTCAAAATAAACTGTTAAGAGGTCATCAGGCTGGGTCAAAAGGTTATTGGTATAAAATAATATAACTTACGAGAAAGAGATGACAGCTATAATATATATCTCTAGTACAGTAAATATTATCCAACCACTACTATGAGTTAAAACATGACCAAACTTTAACATCAATGTTAATATTATAACAGTTATTGTCATCTGTATAAAATAGGATATAAACCAGGCACACCAATGTACAGCATTACTTAAACCCATCATCTTCATTACCTACAGAATATAAACATATCAGTTATAATTAAATGATAAAAATATTCAATTACTTGTCCACTTTGAAAAACATATAGAAGTAGGAAAGTAACATTAAACATGAGGATATAAGAAAAAAAATCAA